TCCTGTCATCATCTGCGTAACGGTGAGAGCTTCAGGACAGGGACAATCATGTGTCACAATTGGCCTCATACTACTTGCATATATCTTCTCTTGGGCTGACAGCTTATAGTAATCATCTACAAATTCATAAACACTATCGTGAAGTAGCTTTATCGCTACACATGCATGAACATAAGGTACTCCGCTCATTTGCCATGCTAAACAAGTGCATTTGTGTGTTGTGAGATCAATAGTGACACAAATTATTCTAGTAGGAGATGTAGTATGAACTTGAACTCAGTTATCTCCATAATATACAATATGCATATTCTCCGCTCTTGCTACTTTTTCTTGCAACTTGGACTCAATATTTGGCCCAATGCCATTTGTCTAATTTCCTATTACCATTTTGCTTGCAACCATCTTCTTGGCTAATTTCTCCATATGCTCATGTATGAAAACTGACACATTGTGCTTCCTCTCCTTCAAAATCCAGGCATTAAACGACTCCGTAACATTAGTGGTGATGTTATCCATCGTTTAAACAGAAATTTGCTTAAAGCCCACCGATCTACATCTCCTTGAGTATCAACCCAATCAACTAATTGTGGACAAAATGATCTAAGTTTCCACATTGCAGCAACATATTCATCCTCAATCCTTGTGTAGGCGATTCCATCCAGCATTTTCAATGTGACGTCCTTTTGAAGTACCTGAAACTCATCCCCTGCCTCGGTTAATTTTTAAATAATGTGCACTAAAATTTTCTTTCACATGCTTGTAGCAAAAAGCATGTCTCTCGCCACCAAATACTATCAGCACAGCACCTATAATGACATTATTCCGATCTAAAACTATCATTGTCTCCATTGATCTTGTGATGTCTTTGACATTCTAGAGAAACTAAGCCCAATCATCATATGTCTCCCTACTGACTATAGCATATGCTAATGGAAACAGTTCATTATCCACATCATATGCATTAGCTGAAATCAATGTCCCCCTGTAAGGAGCACTTAGATGACATCTGTCTATATAAAGTATATGTTGACACCCTTCTAAAAATCCATTAATTGAGCATCCATAAGCAATGAACACCCTCTCAAATTTGTTACTATCCAACCCTTCCCATCGAGCAATTGTGTTTAGATCAGTTTTAATAAGCCTTTCACAAATCCAGAGAATCACTAAGTATGAATCCTGTGCACGACCATGTACTTCCCTCAATGCTCTTTCTCTACCCCTGTATGCTTGACTATAATTCAGTCACACCCCGTATTCTTTATACAAATCTCTTCTAATTTCATTAGCATTCTTATCTATATTACACCGCAAAGAATCTATCATGATTGATGATGTTAAGTTTGACCTTCCAGAGTGAGATACAACCAAGTTGTCCTGTGCATAATGCACATGCTCACTTCTTAAGGTTCTAATTATTAAGAACTCAGAATCTTGTCTTTGTCCTATTGAGTATGCACCCATATACCACGGGTATCCCTCCGCCATACACTTCATAATGATCTTTTGTTGATTGTTCTTCACAAATTTGTATAAAAACTTCACAACAATACTGTACGTATATAGTGCTTGCCTAAGGGCCACTGCATTAGGAAAAATTTATCCTTCTCCAATAATCAAACCCTTCCACTTTGTTGAATTCATTTCTGGAATTGGAGTTGGCATCATTTCTAAACCACATGGCAATGATAGTGGGTCTTCACTAACCATATTAGGTGGAGACATGGACAATGCATCTGAACCTCTGAATAAGTCTTCTATCCTACATAACAGAACAGGTCAAAGGGTCGTTAATGACAACTTTCGATCACTATAATAACAACTTATGCACAACAATTGATAATAGCTAATATTATTTCAAAATTTAAATAACACAACTTACACATGTTGTTCTTTTATTGGAACATCACTTGTTAGTTGTGAATTTTGATCTCCATTTTCTCCTATATATACATGACCACTATCACCATTGAAGTTAATCAAATGTTCTACTCCTTCATTATCTACAAGGTCTACAAATGTACACTCATCAAAGGTTACTGTGAATTTCATAACCATTCCATTACTTTATTTTCCCACAATTGATGCTATCATTGTTCTAAATTCTCTATATGATGTCCTTTCCTTTATCATTCTTGTTCTCACACTACCTCCAACATACTGCGTTTCACCTTCTAGACCATTAATAAATTGTCCTCCTATATGGAGGTAACAAAACAATTGCTTCCCACTTGAAGTTGCCATCCTTGATATCAACCTGCCACAATCACTTGTTAATAACAAGTCATACAGTTATATTAACAACCTTCGATGTACCTATTAACAACACATTTAACCATCGCATTACAGGGGTTACAGTAATAAATATCTGTTATTTTCCATTCATTTTCATCAGCAACACAGCATCAATGACCAAAAAAACAGAGCATTGCTTTCTAACCCTAGCCACACATAGTAAAACCATACCTAAGATGATTAAAACCACATATGACTAAAATGAGCCTCCCTTGATACTCCAAGTGAGTTGAATCACATCCTTAATACCTACATATCCACACCCAATCAACTTTTCAGACCAACATTAAACTTGAGATTGGTTGTTAATAACAAGTCATACAGTTATATTAACAACCGTCAATGTACCTATTAACAACAGATTTAACCATCGCATTACATGGGGTTACAATAGTAAATATCTATTATTTTTCACTCATTTTTGTCAGCAACACAGCATTAATGATCGAAAAACAGAGCATCATTCACCAAAAAACAGAGCATTGCTTTTTAACCCTAGCCACACATAGTAAAACCACACCTAAGATGATTAAAACCACATATGACTAAAATGAGCCTCCCTTAATACTTCAAGTGAGTTGAATCACATCTTTAATACCCACATATTCACATCCAATCACCTTTTCAGACTAACATTAAACTTGAGACTGATTGTGTACAAAAGAAGAGAAATATTATTAATGATGAGACCTACCAAGAAGATGAAGAAATAATATAGCTTGCCTACAATGGAGCACCAACGCATACCTCCCTTCTTTCTTTTAGAAGTTTCTCTTCCTCGTGCATGCATAACAAACAAGCGCACTAACTGAAGCCAATCAGCGTCTCTCTCTCTCTCTTCTTTCCTTTTTCAATGAGTGAGGGCAAGCAGGTAATATCACAATTGAAATTATTTACCTAGAGGTCTCTGGGGACTTAGGAGGAATTTGGGGATTTTCAGGGACTTTATCTAAATTAATTCTCTTCTGTAGGACCTGTGTGTAATTTTCCCTTTTCTTTACTCTCGTCCTATTTTGTTTGAATGTACAGTCAAAGAAGAATATGAATATCATTGACTATTTATAAATTAGTTTTCAACGTTTTTATTTTGAGCAACATCACCTCAACGAAATTGGGCTACACTTATTTGACTGTCATCAAGAGGAGGCTATAGATCATTCATTCTTTCTACACCCTTTCACTAGAGCAATTTGGTTTGAATATTTTCGATAACATTAACATTTAGCACTTTCTTCTGTGGTTAAAGGATAACCTTTCTACTTTACATCAGGACAATCATCTATCTCTTGTTAAGGGTATTGGGCTTGCGTTGGATCAATGTTGCAAAAGTGCTTATAAGCACTTTCATGTAAGTTGAAATAAAACTTTTCTCACATACTTACCACGTATTCCGTAAATCACATTTAAAAAACTACTTATAAGTCATTTCAAACAAGTCCATTATCATGGGAAAATTGCAAATAAAGATCATCGAAAATGCAAAATTCTAGATCAGGAATCATGGCAATATTTTAACTGGTTTTGATAAGAATTGATTTGCAAATGACAATCAATTTTTGTAGGAATTCCTGATCTGGGATTTTGTAATTTTCATTGTCTTTTTTCCCCCAAATTTTCCTATTATCATTCTTATTAACATTATTTGAGGGCAGAGAAACATTGCCCTTCATGAGAAATATGTATTGAATCTTTTTGCCGTTGCCCAAGAGATCAAACATGCTACTTGGTTCTCAGGTATGGCTTTTTCTCATAATATGGACAGCTCTCCTTAGGCTCCGACTATCTCGGTTCGGGGATATAATTCTGTTACTGATCCTAATGGTCGGGCTATCATCACACATAAAGTCAAAATTAGAAACAAAGCGACAATATATGGTCAAACTCTTCAGTACTTTCTATGGACCCGTAGATTCTAGAGGGGTCATTCTTTCAATTATAAATGTTTGCGGTCTTCTTAGTTGGATTGTTAATTGTTAATTCTCCATTCTTCTCTTTTATTAATCAATCGCTACAGATTTTGGTTTCTATCAAACAATTGGGATAGACTGATAACTCAGTAAAAGAAATGATTGGAATTATCATTGAAGATATCCTTGTTTTCTGTAAACTATTTTCTAGTTTAGATGTTGTAGCTGTTAATCCTTTGCCTTTTTCTGTTTTTTTGTTGCTAATTTTTCTTTTTACTGCTCATCTAGTTTTTCTCATTAATATCATTTGATTTTTTTTTATCAAAATTTTTATTTCAATTTCTGTATTATTTATAATACATTTGTTTTGATATGTAGCTAAATGTAACATGTATAATGCATGAAATTATATAATATTAGTTGTTATCTAATCAAGTTATATACTACTGATTGCCATCGATTTTATTCACAACTAGATACAGTATTCTAATTTTTAAAATTTAATTTGCTGAAGTACGTAAGAAAATTTTAAAGAAACAGGAAAAATTATGTGAAATTTGATAAATATAGAAAGAAAAACGGACTTAAATGTAAGAGAAAAACAAACTATACATAATCAGAAAATTAAATTAAATTAAAGAAATGAAGGCTTAATATTACTTTATTACCCATCCGTAAATTTATATGCGCGTTCAATTTTAACAAATTCTTTTTTATTATTCAAAACAAATGACGGAAGCGAGACCAGTTGGAGCGTTAGACGACTCAGACAACCATTTCAATTCAAAAACGCTTTGAAAGAGAGAGAAAGTGGGAAGAGAAAGTTTAACCTTTTGCACTTTCTCCTACTCTTTCAAGTCGAGGAAAGATCAACCATTGTCTTTCCTTCTCTCCCTTTTCTCTCCTGGCTTCTTCCATTCCAGTTCAATCTGCAAAGGGGAGAGGGGAGATCTGTTTGATTCTCACGGATCGCTGTGAAGCTCTTGCTTGATATTCGATTTTGATCGGTTACAATATATTTGTCATCTAGAAGATTTGATATAGCCTTTGGATTGTATTCTGTTGGGTTTGGATCCTTGATCTCTGCGACAGATGGAGGCGATCGAGGAGTTATCTCAGTTGGCTGATTCCATGCGCAAGGCGGCGGCTTTACTTGCTGACGAAGATGTTGATGAGCCCAGCTCTGCATCTTCAAGAAGGCCGTCAACTTTTCTTAACGTCGTAACACTTGGAAATGTCGTAAGTTGTTGGGTGTCTATGATTTCTGACTACCTTATGTGGACTAAATTTTCTATCTGGGTTGGGTCTTGGTTGCTTCTATTAGTCAGAGCTTATGGTTTTTCAATCTGGGTTTTCTTGAGATATTTAGTAAGCTTCGGGTTTGTGGTGCTATGCATATAGAGGGTGACAATTATTATATTTTTATTTTGGCCAAATATGGAGGGAGACAATTATGATACGCTGTGATTACAGAGTTATCTGTGGATTAGATGAGTTTGCTTAAAAATTAGATTTACAATAGATATAGGTAATTGATAATGAGTTGTAGGAGTTGGTTGTGCTAGTTTACCGTCAGGCATAGCATCCCATTTTAACTTACGGTATGTGTTCAGATGAGAGCATTTGATAGTTTAGATAGGTTATGTTATTTCAGCACATAAAATTGAAGATCTATATGTGAAAGAAACTATAACTTTCATTTTTAGTTTATATGACTTTTGAATTGGTTGCTCATATCAGGAAACTTCAAGCTCTATCACCCCAAAAAAAAAAAAAAAAAAACTCCAAGCTCCTATTGATCGTTGGTTGAGAATGAGAATTGAACTCTTTGAGATCTGATCTTCCGTTGTTCCTTCATGGCTGATTTCTGAATTAGTGGAGGACAATGAACTTGGACCTAGAAATTCAAATTGATTTCCAAAAATCAGCAAAATGAGAGCTTGAAGGAACCTTAATCTCTTCATGAATTTCTTGCTTAACCTGTAAACAGTTTTAGGTAGGATAATTTTTCTAGTAAGTACAGGCAAACAGATTAAGTGGGAATATCAAACATATAATTTAATTTAGTAATTTAGTCTTCTTAGTAAATGTGAATGCCAGTAACAACACTCTCAGAATCCCAGGAATTTTTTGGCTTTATTATTTTTTTTCCCTGTGACAAACAAATTTCTCTTCCCTATTTCATTTTCAATGAGTTACAATGCATGCAAGTCAATTGTGTAGGACACATGCGCGATTCTTTTACCTGAAAGGATTGGTCATTTAACATATTTTTTGGGTTAATGCTATATGTTTATATTGCATACTAATTGTTTGCTACCTAGTAAATCTTTTATCTGTTTTGGCAAATTGATATCTTTTTATTTTGTTCCTTTTTTGCTCAACTTTTTAGGGTGCTGGTAAATCTGCTGTATTGAACAGTTTGATTGGACATCCTGTTTTGGTAAGATGGGTTTTATAGGGTTCCATCTATTTTAGTTAACATCTATTACATATCACCTTTATATAGTCTATGCTTATTCTTGAGGTCTCCTTTGTCTCCAGCCTACTGGTGAAAATGGAGTTACCCGGGCTCCTATAAGCATTGATCTGCAGCGAGATGGTTCTTTAAGCAGCAAATCAATTATCTTGCAGATTGAGAATAAGTCCCAGCAAGTTTCTGCAAGTTAGTTTCTATTTTCTTAATTGGCCTCCTTGATTGCTGTCTGTGCAGCTTATATTGCTCATTGTGTGAAACCATAACTGGTTCGATTTTTTTTATTTTATTTTAAAATCATAATCATCTTTGAATGTTCATAAGTGCTTGCATGCAGTAGACGTGTAGGAGGGCTTCGTGTTAACAATGTGGTATTTTTCAATCATAGAGACATGGATAAAACAGAGCACTTGCACTCATTTTTGTTTATGATTGTCATTGCACTAATATTATTATGAACCCAACATTGGCACACCCCCCCTTTTCCCTCTCTTGCTGGTTAGTATTATGATACATGCCTTTTCGTTTCTTTCCAAGGATACTTAGACGCTTTATCTCATTGCTGCAGGTGCCTTGCGACATTCATTACAGGATAGGTTGACTAAGGGTTCCTTAGGCGAGGGTCGAGATGAAATATATTTAAAGCTTCGCACAAGTACAGGTTTGTTGATGACTATTGTTTGATTGCTGTTGCTGCCTTCAATTTGTATATCTAAGTTAGACTTATACAATCTGTTTAGCAACTAAACAACTTTGGGAAAAATATCTGACTATGCTCCCCCATGCTCCATTTTTATTATAACCTTAAAATTAGTATCTGGCTTCCTAATTAGATGATAATAGCAGAAAGCCATGCCGTAGTGCTGTAAATTAGAGTGCGAAGGGCAATTATTCTTCGCTGTTACCCTCTTATGAAAAGTTTTCAAGTTGCTTTATGCCACATGCAACTCAGATTTTGATATCAGATAATTCATGAAACTTGCTTCTCATTTATTTCGACCTGTATATGATCTGTTTTGCACATGTTATGCTCCTTTTTCCTAGTTACATATCCTAACATTCCCTCACCATATTATGTTATCAGCACCACCTCTTAAGTTGGTTGATCTTCCTGGGCTGGATCAACGCATCATGAATGAATCTATGGTAAGTGGTGACCTGTCTCTTCCAAACCTTTCATTTATTGTAAGGTATACTATTAATATACAATATCATGGTCAACTGTAATTTTTCCTCCATGTTTCTGGTTTCTAGTTTCTGTGTTGATTTCTTTTGGTCGTAATTGAATATGATAGGAGTCAAATGTTCTTTTATATGATCCTTTCATAGGTTGGTGAATATGTGGAGCACAATGATGCCATTGTGCTAGTCGTGGTACCTGCAGTTCAGGCACCTGAAATTGCTTCATCTCGAGCCTTAAGAACTGCAAAGGAATATGATGGAGAAGGTAGATCATTTGCTTTTGTTTTGTTCTCCCTTCTTTTTGTATATTTTTCCATTTCCTATGTAGATAAGCTGAAAAAATTTAAATAGGTACCCGAACCATTGGTGTTATTAGTAAAATAGATCAAGTTGCATCAGATCAAAAGTCTTTGGCAGCAGTTCAAGCACTTCTTTCGAATCAGGGCCCTGCAAGAGCATCAGATATTCCATGGGTTGCTTTAATTGGTCAATCTGTTTCAATAGCTACAGCACAAACTGGATCTAATGGTTCTGAAAATTCTCTGGAAACTGCATGGAGAGCAGAGAGTGAAAGTCTCAGATCCATTTTGACTGGAGCTCCTCAAATTAAGCTTGGACGGATAGCTTTGGTTGATGCTCTAGCACAGCAAATCCGAAATCGGATGAAACTCAGGCTGCCTAACCTTCTTTCTGGGTAATTCTTTGTGTTGTGGAGTTTGACATTTTTCTTATTACTTGAGGGTCCTTATTTTCATTTTGTTCGTGATGGTGTTAATTTTATATCTAGCTGGAAATCGATGACGATGCACATGGCTTTTATCTTTGTTGCGGAAATTTATAGACCTACTTTTAGACCAAGGATGTGCTACCCCTAGACTCATTCCTAACAAAATCTTCTCAATGATAGGATTTTTTTTTCTTTTTCAGATGTAACATTTTAAATTTGCAAATGAATTTATTTAGACTTTTATTGTCAATATTGTTTTTATGTGTGGAAAACAGCGTTTATTTAATGTGTGTGTGTGTCTCTGTGTGTCTGTGTGTGTGTGTTTTAATTATATTACATTTGTAACAGCGTTTTTTTTTTTTTCCGCTTCCAAATTATGTCTGTGTGTGAGAGGCACTTGTTAGCTGAAAATAAATATTTTCTGTGTTGTTTCTGGGTTGCTGGTTAGATTTCTTTAAGAAATGATTTTGTTAGTAGGTTCTTTCTTTTAATAATTAATTATTTTATTATTAAATTATTTTGCAATTTCTCAATTGAAAAGTGATATCGTATTTAGGGGTATTGTTGGATGTAACAGACAAACTTGACTATAATGTTGTCCGTTTTGTGGCCAAACTGTTTTTTGCCTCTTTAATGCCAATATCTGGAATTAACTATTAACCAATATTAAATGTTTATTTGGTCCTTGTGAAATAATCTTTTTTATTTAGTAAATTTTAGTGTGTTAAGTTTATACAATGACAAGTGTATTTAAGTTATAATTAATTTGTATATAATTTTTTGTTAATATAGTAAAAATTTCATAATAAATCAAATATATGGTTTTTGGGACGAAGTAAGTAAATATTGAATAACATTTTAGAGGAGTGTATTTTGACATGTTTAGTTAAAATAACTTATTCTTGAGGGTATTTTTGCAAAAGCTGGTTTAGTTCTGACTTGTTATTTTGTTTCAATAGAGGTTCTTGTCATTTTTTTTTTTTTTAATAATACGTGGACTGGCGATGTAATTAGATTATTTCTTATGAAGGGGAGAAAGTTTTTCCCTAGTAATTATATATCCATCATCTCCTTGGCCTTCATGTAATTTCCTCCATGACTATAGTGTTCATGCTTATACCTTTGCAATATGAAAAAACTGTTTAAGGCAAATTGACTAGTCATTTGTACTGGTATTTACAGTTGAAGATCTGTTTGTCTTGTTTAATTTTTTTCCCCCTACCTATAGAACAAGCTTGTTTAATATGCAATTTTTTTAAAGATGTCAATTTTACCCTGTAACCTGAATATCATATTGGTTTGCGTTCTTCTTGAAAAATCTGCTAATTCGTCATTGAAAAATTTATTTATCTTTGTTTCTTGTTTTAAAATTTATTGATCTCATTCTTAGTGTAAGGAGTCTCTCTAAGGCACAATAAATACGGTTAAGTTGAAATAAGGGAGGTGCATCATCAATTATTCATTTGTGATTGTTGGAAAGAAGTGGTTATATGCATCATCAATTGACTGAATGATTGCTTTTTGTTTGACAAAGTTGCATTTGTCTGTTGTTTTTAGAACTGATTATGTGCATCATCAATTGTATTTTCTTACTTTCTACTGTCACATTTTCAAGGTTACAAGGGAAATCTCAGATAGTTCAGGATGAACTAATGAGGCTTGGGGAGCAAATGGTTACAACTGCAGAGGGTACACGAGCTATAGCCTTGGAACTTTGCCGTGAGTATGAAGATAGGTTCCTCCAACACATCACCACTGGTGAGGTATGTTTGTTAAATGTGTTATTTTACTTCAGCCCATGCCAGTATTGTTTGTCGTCCAGAATGTTACATTATCCCGTATTAAGTGATTTTTTGAAGCATTGTATATCTCAGCTTATCTAGTATTGCTTATTATTAAAGATATTATATCTATTTGTCATTGATAAGCAATTGAGGTACAATTATCACCTTAATGCATTGATCTATTAACATTAGTTGGACTTGGCTTGTGCTGTTCATCATTGTTATTGTTTGAGATTAACCTGTTTTTACATGTTAACTGCATTAGATGGCAATTTTTTTTCCCAATTTTTGATCTTGAACATAATTATTTTTTCTGTTGATTGCTTGGTGCCAATTTTATTTATTTATGATACATGAATCTCTCAGGGTGCTGGTTGGAAAATAGTTGCCAGTTTTGATGGAAATTTCCCTAATAGAATCAAGCAATTGCCTATTGATAGGCACTTTGACATCAGCAATGTAAAGAGGGTAAGTTTCGGATTGTTGCTTGACTTATGCACCCCCTGTAAGCTGGTCTCTTGATTGTGCTTCTACTGACCCTCTCTTTAATGATCAGATTGTTTTAGAGGCTGATGGTTATCAACCATATCTTATTTCCCCTGAAAAGGGTTTGAGATCTCTCATTAAAGGTGTTCTAGAGCTTGCAAAAGAACCATCACGTCTTTGCGTTGATGAGGTATTTATCTTTGAAATTCTCAATTTGAATTATTTTACGATTTCCTTAGTCAGTTTCATTCTGTCCTGCTTCAGTGTTGTGGTGTTGCTAATGAAAGCTTTCATTCTGTTCCTAAGTTATGCTTATTGTTGAATCTGCTATCTAATTGCGCTGTGTTCTTCCCTGCCTTCCTTGTCCCGTTGCACGTGATAGTTAAAAAGTGATAATGGGTGTGCGTTGATAATACTTTCTTGTCTCCCATACCATGCGGTGGGGGGGGGGGGTGTTTGGTTTGTGGAATCGATCATAATTCTTGAATGCAATTCCACGTTCCTTGGCATGTAACATTCTTCGGTGTTAATCTCTAGTGGGTTGGGCCTATAGTAGCATATTGGTCATTTTTTAATATAACTATATAAGCCCACGGAGAACTGGTTGTCGCAGTTCAGTGATTATATGCAGATTTTCTTCTCTCCTCATCGTTAACTGCAATCTTCACATTTAGTTCATCACAAATATTCTTGACATATCTATTTAAATTTTTTGAAATATTTTAAAAATATTTTTTCAAAGTATTGTTGCTTTCACTAATTTATAGTTACAGCACTCTTGCACAGTTATATTTTATAATCATTTCTATTATTTTGTTAATTATAATTATAATATATTTGTAATTATGTTTATAATTTTTAATTTATTGTATTCTAACATTTTTGTTTATTTTGTATTCGTTAGCTTATAGTTTATTTATATTATACCAACTCAATCATTTAATAATTCCTGTTAATATTATTTCTCTATCCATTTATATATTATTTGTTACATTTCCTATTCATTATTTATTTTTTTAATTTATTAATATTAGATTATAACTTTTTATATTATATACTTTTAAAAATATTTCTTTAGTTATGTAATGTTGTTTTTATAATTTGGATTCATTTTTTTTATTATTATCATTATGATTTTTGGATTTTATAATTTTTTATTAGTTCTTGAACTACTCTAGTCTGTCCAACAAAAATAGGCTATTTTTTTCCTTGCTAAATGAGGCAGCTTGTTTAACCCATGACCTGTGTCCTGTGGCGGGTTGACCTACTTGTAAGTTTATTCGGGAAAGGACAGGCAAAATGATATTTTTAAAATTGCAAAAAAAAAAAAAAAAAATCCCGTTAAAATCCTGCATATGTACCCTGCATTTGCAATGTTGAGCTGCTAGGGATTTTTTTTTTTGTGAAAGCTGCACCAAACATGAAAGGTCATATTGGCAGGAAGCCAAAGAGATTCTGTAAACCAAATGCCACCTTATTGTTTGTTTGTTTGTTTCTGTTTCTGTTTCTGTTTTTGTTTTTTGTTTTTTTTTTTCTGTTTTTGTTTGACTGCTTCTCACAGCACTATGTATGAAGTGTTTACTCTTACTTTGTTGAATAATTGTTACTTTCACGTCTAATGACCCATGTATTTTCTTGACTACTAATAGAGATCCTTTTGGCCGTGCGGTCCAGGTACATCGGGTCCTAATAGACATAGTCTCAGCTGCTGCCAATGCTACGCCGGGTCTTGCAAGGTACCCGGCTTTCAAGAGAGAGGTACTGCACTTTTTTACTACATTTCGCTTCTTAAATCTTAATTTTTTTTAATTGCTGCTTGATACTTGTATTTTTATGTCAATGGGGGTCAAACTTTTAGTTTTCCATTGTTGTTCATTATCAATAACAAGGGAGGAAGCCTTCTCCTCCTTATCATAAATAACCTCTATAAATTCTTAAAGGTTGTGGCCATTGCAACAACGGCGTTGGAAGGGTTTAAGAATGAAGCAAAGAAAATGGTTGTTGCCCTAGTTGATATGGAGCGAGCCTTTGTGCCACCTCAGCACTTTATTCGTTTGGTACAAAGAAGGTAATTCTGAAATCATTTTGGGGGAAATTGCTATTCTAGTTCCTATGACATCTTCTGAAGTTTTCTCACGAGTCAATGTGTTATGTTGTTATTGTCCTAAACTATGTGTGGTCTAAGTTTTGGAGATTGTATCTTCATTTTGGAATATTTTATTTTCTTGCATTATGAAATATGGTGTTTGACTGTAAGATTTCCTGCTAACTATCAAAACAGTTCCTAGTGGTTTCATTTAAGGATATTTAAGCAGACATGCTAATGAGTCGCATTCAAGTTCTGTTGGCAATTGCATGAGGTGGAAAGAATTAATTACTACTTGGAGGAAGAGGCTTTTATATCATGCCAGCAATTACTTTATCCAGAAGCTCAAGTTATGTGGAGGCTTGTTTAAAAAAAAAAAAAAAAAAAGTCATTTTGTTTGGGGAGAACTTTTAATGAGGAGGCAGTAAACTAAGGAAAATTGTTTGGCATATGCAATGGAGAAATCCTATGGGATTAAAGGTCTTTCTATGCTTTTAATTAAAGCTGTCGGGATTTTCATTACTCTTGTTGGAAAGAGATATATTTCTTTTGGCTAAAGTATTATAGACCCCTAACCTTTGGGACTAGTGTTTATTATCCTATTTCTAATAGTCTAATAGTCTTTCTCACATGATTTTGTATTTATTTATACCAACTTTTTGGACATATTTAGCTTAACAATATGAACTCTTGCTAACAAAATTCTTAAGGTTCAATTTAGCTCGCCCTTACAGTTTATTTTAAGTTATTTCGCAATTTGATTAAGCTATTCTATAATATGTACTTTAGAATGGAAAGGCAACGTCGAGAAGATGAACTGAAAAATCGATCTTCAAGAAAAGGGCAAGATGCAGAGCAATCTATACTTAACCGGGTAGGTGGTCACTTAATGTGGGTCATTGTGGGTTTGCAGAGATTAATAGTAGTTTATAATTTTATAACCCCAAGTTGTGATTTGTTTGTTTTTTTTGTAATGTGTTTTGTTGGTACTGCTTATAATTAACTTAGGCAACTAGCCCTCAAACGGGTGGAAGCATGAAATCAATGAAAGACGAAAAGGAAAAGGAAAAGGACAAATCAGGTCAGTCAGAGAAAGAAGGGAAAGAAGGTTCTGGTTTAAAAACTGCGGGTCCTGAAGGAGAAATAACAGCAGGTCTGTCAGATGATTCCACGCTCTAGCTGCTACCTTTTTATTGCAGAAAAATTTAAATGAACCCGTTTTTTTCCCCTATTTAGAGGGTAATTTATTGGAAAGTTAATAATATAATATGCCATACAACTCTCAAGTTTTACCCTTAGTAGGTATCTTTATAGTTGTTTTGTCCTTGTTTGTTCACAGAGTTGTTCTTACAGTTCAATACTCACTGGCATTTAGCATATCCAGTACCCATCAAATATCTTGTGACAGGATAGAATTATAACAAATGCATATTTTTAGCCCATTGATTATCAGTTTTATATTAACTGTAATCACAATGGTATTCATTTTGTTTACTGGGTGGATTACAAGTATCTCTTTCTTTATTGTCCATGACTTCCCTACATTCGTAATTCCTCTTATCAAAATTCTGATACTACTATATATGGTTCTTCCCTTAAATCGTGGTTTTCTGTTGAAGTGGTCCATGTCACCACTTACCAATGATAAATTCAATTTCTTGGCCATCTAACCTCTAACCTAGAAAGGCATAGGAGCATGCTCTAACATATCATTTGGAAACTAGAATTTCCCAAAGACGTACTTCAACAGAAGAGATTTGAGTTGATCGCTGAAAGCCAGTCTTCTGTATTAATTGCAGGATTTTTGTTGAAGAAAAGCACAAAAACCAATGGTTGGACCAGACGATGGTTTGTTCTAAATGGGAAGACAGGAAAGGTTTGTGAGCTTTTCCCCAGATATGTCAAATTTATGTTTGCATCTCCTGGGCTTTTATTATAGATCCAATATCATTGTCTTCCTAGAAGCAAATTGTTTGTTTATTTTCCGGTGACAAGCATGTTACTTATTTTATTATTGGTTAGAGTGAATCAAAATGTGAGACTTTTGTTTCACCTTCTTGTGATGACTCTTTCTGTGGTTGATTGTTTTTCATTGTTTGCCATGCCACATGAGTCTTGCTGCAAACAATCACTTTTTCCTACACTGACAATTATACACATAGATGTTAGATGACTTCTTTAACGAAGTGTGCTTTCCAAATTTCTGCTTTTTATCTCTGGTCTTTAGTCTGTTCCATATACCATCCCTTATTTAATTTTTTTTGCCCTCCCTGGAGTAGCTCGAGTTTTTATTCACAATATTTGAGTGAGTGAATTTTTTTTTGAGTGATTTTTATTTGCAATTTTGATTTTGATTCAAGCCACTTTGATATATATATATATATATATATATATATGTGCACCGCTTTCAGCAATTGATGCAATGATTATTATCATTTAATGAGTTTTTGACAGTTCTTCTTTATCTTTGTTGTGCTTCATTACTTGTGCTTGAAGGGATATAATTAGTTTTTGTTTTTTCGGTGAACGAAAAGGCATAATTAACTTCGCTTACTACATAATCTGCTACAAGTAGCATTGATTCAGCTTTTGTTTCACAGCTTGGTTACACAAAAAAGCAAGAAGAAAGACTTTTTCGTGGTGTTATTACATTAGAGGTATGAGGACTATTAATTCTTTTGTGCATGAATGTTTTCTTCCCAACAGTTGTATTTTCAGCATATGCATTGAAGTTATTGTGACAGAAATCTTCAATCCAATTATAATCCAATTAATGATTAATTTCCAGCTGGAATGCTTAGATAAGTGCTTGGTTGAGTTCAATTAAGTTATTACAGGCAACTTTTCCCTTATTGTTTGTGTTTGTCTATATTATTTGGAAGTTTTCTAGCAAAAGTCTTGTTCCTCATCTCCATCAATAAAATAACGATGACTCTTGTTATGTGGAGAATGAATGTACATGCTTAATATATTTCTCTACAGTTTAGGTACTATCAGCCAAAATCTGTAGTTTTTCATTGGTGGTTATTGCCCTTATTTTCTTTTACAAAATTTTGTATTTGCAGACTTCCTGGCTCTGGAAGGTCGGTGGTTTTTGTTTTTCCAGAACTAAGCTTGTATTTGAGTATTGGTGATTTCATGTTCAATTGATCGGAATAGTTATGTGTTATGATTTTGGATGACAGTAGGTTCTCTATTTAAGATTGGTGAATTGTTTCTTTTTCTTTTTTCTGCCTGTGAATTTTTTCTTACTTGGTGCAAAATTGGCAATACATTTTTTTTTCTCTGGTAAAATGCTCTATTTTATAGCTCAAGGGGTCAATTGGAGAAGGCATATTTTCCCTATTTGAGGAAAGCATCAATTCTTTAGAATTTTAAACTATATACACCTTTTCCACAAACAAAAGGATAAATAATATGCTCCAAACATTCAAGCTAAGGATTTCCCTCCATTTCTTGAAACACCTTTTATGCATACCAAACTTGACCTTAGTTATCTAACTCCCTTCTGCTGTTGAAAACAGCACTAGAGCGTGAAAGTTCTGATTGTGAGAGTTTACCGGATATACAAATGTAATTTAAAGAAGTAGAATTTTTTTTTTTTTTTTAATATACCACTGGTAGTTTGGACGTTTGTTTTGCAACCTTTTGTTGGCGGTATAAGTGAAAAGTCTAGATAACAATTTTATTATCATACAGGAATGCAACATTGAAGAGGTTTCAGATGAAGAGGATCCTCCACCAAAAAGCTCAAAGGATAAGAAGTCCAATGGACCTGATTCTGGGAAACCTAAACTTGTTTTCAAGATCACGAGTAGAATTCCATATAAAACTGTTTTGAAAGGTATATTCTACTGTTATTTTAGCCATCTTTTGAACATGCTCCTCCCGTTTGTTTCTTGGATATATTTCATAGCATTTTGAATTTGATTGGTTTCTTTATGCAGCGCACAGCGCTGTTCTTTTGAAGGCTGAGAATGCAGCTGATAAGGTTGAATGGATTAATAAGATAAGTAATATTATACAAGCAAGAGGAGGGCAAATAGCTGTTTCATCTAATGGTGGCCCTATGACGAGACAGGGTCTCTCTGATGGTTCCTTGGTCAGTTACTGCCTTGTAGCTTTTGCTCTCACACATATGATATGGATTTGCTGTTTTTAAAAGAAATAGGCTCATTGTTTTTCCCCATTTCAGGATACAATGGCACAGAGGCCAGCAGATCCCGAAGAAGAACTACGATGGATGTCCCAAGAAGTCCGTGGTTATGTTGAAGCTGTTTTGAACAGTTTAGCTGCTAATGTACCAAAGGTAAACCTTTGCCACAAAATTTTCTGATTTTCTTCTTGCAGGTTTTTTCAATGTTTTATACATTTTCTGATTTGTTGTTTGAGCAGGCGGTTGTCCTTTGCCAAGTTGAAAAAGCTAAGGAAGACATGCTGAATCAATTATATAGTTCTGTCAGGTTTGGAATTTCCTTTCCTGTTGTCATGCCTCGTAAGATTCTCTTTGGTGTTAGATGCAGAGCTTCTTTCTTGATTTACTTGTTCCTTGGGATTTATCTATTGGGTTGTGCCTATGCCTTGAAGAGTGAAGTTCCCATTTGTGGGGGGCATGGGGTTTATTCATTGATTTGAGCTGAATTAGTTTAGGAGATACTCAGGTCTTTCAGGGTAATCATGTAAATTGTTGAAGGAACTATATTAGCGATTTGTGAATGCATTTTTGTCTTTTTTCTCTTTGACTTGGTTATGGACTTATGGTAACTGTTTTATTTCTTCATTATGGACAGTTCTCAAAGCACAGCTAGGATTGAGCAGCTGATACAAGAAGATCAGAATGTGAAGCGAAGGAGGGAACGTTACCAAAAGCAATCCTCACTTCTCTCAAAACTGACTCGTCAACTGAGTATTCATGACAATAGTCCAGCTGCTGCCTCTAGCTGGTCAAACGGTGGTATTGAAGGTAAGAATCAAAGCGTATTTCTTATTTACTCGCATTGTTGGTGGGCGAATAATATTAATCTAAAATGTCAGGGCACTTGGTCTTTTGAATTTTTTAGTATCAATGGTTGCGTGACTGTTAAAAACCAATTTTGAAGAACTTTAAGAGATTGTACCAGAAGTTGTATTAATAAAACTAACTGTTGACTTTGACAGCTTAAACTTTTGGAATGCTGACATATATAGTATCATGGGCTCTCTGACCATATCTGATCCTCACCATTCCCTTTCTTTCTCCTAATCAATATATCATCATCATCAATATATATAAAACTGAAATGCATTGGCATTATAGCTTTCTTATCTCTTGATGACACACATTGGGTTAAAAATTTTAAGCCGCCTTTTTTTTTTTTTTGGGGGTGAGAGGTGTAGATTGTTTCTCTATCCTTGTCCTATTTGGCCTTCCTCTTCATTTCTATATCTCCTTTTGGCAGATAGTAGCAGTCCAAGAAGTAACGGTCCAGGTGATGATTGGAGAACTGCCTTTGATGCGGGTGCTAATGGCCCCAGTAGTCGTACCAGTTCATTGAGATCTAGATCAAATGGTCACTATCGACCTAACGGTGACATACTACAAAATGGTGATATGAACTATGGCTCAAACTCTGGTAGTCGTCGTACTCCTAACCGATTACCCCCAGCCCCACCTGCTTCTTCAGGTTACAGATTCTAGCTGTTGGTTGGCTGGCTTGCTGGCTATCCATCTTAATCTTTTGAAGTGAGATTTTGCTAAAGTGAAGAGAGAGAGAGATAGAGGTGGGATCGACCTCTATCATTGTGAGTCTTATAGAAGTGAATCTTGCCTCTTTTTCTCTTTTTTTCTCTTCACTTCATCTTGAAGAGATAACCATTCATGACTTAATGGCATTTAGTGAGGGTGGCTGGCAACTCTTGCTTGAGATTATACATAGGGGGAGGGAGGATTTTAGTCTTATTGATTCTTTGTTTTTGGCAGGGTATACTTAGTGATGCGAGATGTTTGTGTACATAGAAGACCATAGTATATACAATACACGGCTTTTCGGGCTTGTCCCAGTATCATGTAGACAAGACCAAGATGAGCTTGAATTCATAGGTTTTCAATTCAATATTCTTTTCATTACTTAAAATCTTTTTTTTTTTTTCCTTGGGGTCGATTTTCAGTCATTCTTGTGACATGAAATATGCTTGGAAGATTTAAATTCATTTTAGTCATCTTTTACACATCATCCCAAGTGGGTTATTTATGCAGTTAGGTGTTTGCCTCTGCTTGGTACTTTGATCTTGGAAGTTTCAGAAACAGATGAACAATCATTGACTGTTAGCTTTCACAATTGGACTGACCATTATATCAAAAGAGAGTAGTTTTGTGATTAAGTAGTTAATTGGCAATGGTTTAACCAATATAATTAATTTATTTGAAAATATAACTAGAATAGTTTTAATGAAACTAGATATATTTCTCTATGCAGTGTGTTATGGATTTGATATTAGATATGATATTGATTATGCAAAATTTATTTTCTTTTTTCGTGCTATTATATTCTTTGATTGATTTCTTCTCGTTTGTTTTTTCTTTTACAGTTGTATGGTAATATAATGAAAGGAGGCAAACAAAATTAAGACTCCCAATTCTAACTGAGTTATGCCGAGCGGGCACTTGGCGTGAGAGTGAGTCAGTTCATTCATGTTTCGTTTGATATTCGATCGATTCCGGCTAATTTTGTAAATATAAACACTGAATATTAGTTATACGGTTATTGGTGGGGATATAATGATGAGACTTAGGTGTTTCTGATATTTAAAATTATACACAAGTTTTAAGATTCTTGACTGTCAAAATAAAATAGTTCTGTGGATGAAAATGCCTTTGCATAGGTGAAAGAATACCTCTAAATATTGAACAATTGAATTAAAATCCTTAATAAGAAAAGTTATAGATTGCGAGGTTTTAATTGCCTAGTTTTGATTAGCAAGAAAAAATTAAGTTCATATTGATTAGAAGATATAATTGTTATGATTTTAAACTTTTGAGATAGATTTGTGTCTTAAAATAAAAACTTCGAAGTGCTTAGTATTTGAGTAAAAACTTTTAGAATAAACTTGTATTTTAACCTTGAAATAAACTATGACTTGCCGTCAGTTGTTTGTTTAGTTTCAATGTCCAAATCATATAATCATAGAATTTCTCAATAAAAAGTTGAAATCACGCATCACAGGACAAACACAAATGCAAAAAGAAGCTAAAGAATAAAAAAGAAAAATTAAACTAAAATTTTTTTAAAAAAATGAAAATTCTCAAAATATATAGAAAAATAGAAAATGGTGGTTTTTAATGATGCAAAATTTCAGGCAAATCTGGGTGGTAACGGAATAAGGCACATTACAATGCAAACATAAATTCAAAAAAAAAAAAAAAACAATATGCAATGAAGGGACAGGGGTTAGGATGGGAGAAATGCACCTAAAAGACATGGGAATCAACTTTATTAAAACATTTTAGGCACATTAAAACACAAAAACCATGTAAAATAAGTTCAACTTCATATGAAAACGAACCCAAAACAAGGCGAAAGAGTGAAGTCAACACAATTGGCTATAGCTTATGTGCCCCTTATATGTGGCCAAATCTACACAAAAGGATAATCTACATTTCTGTGCCTTTCATCGTGCTCAAGACTTTTATTCACTGCGACCAATGTGTCATATCAGCACGGTTCCAAATTTTTGATAACTTCATTTGCATAACTTAGGTTACACAACTTCGATTTGACCAATTGAGGTGTCTCTATGAAACCTGCTGAATTATCCAACAGATCAATCATGAGAAAAGGTTGAGCATCCAAAAAAAAAAAAAGAAGTCAAATTTCACACGTAAACAACTCAAATGCTTCCAAGATACAACCAAGTGCCAATTTTTCACAATTTGGACCTTGAATCACATCCAATAGACAAACAAACTATTCCAAATCATTATATTCAACTCAAACACAATATATTCAACTCATTTATATCACCGTTGCTGCCAGGAATGGCTCTCTAAAAAGTACAAGAAGAAGAGATTAAAAGAAAAAAAGTGTCTTCAAAGGGCAAGCAATACTTTTATTTAGGTTTAATTCACCTAGACCTATTCTTATCTTATAGAGTGCAAGTTGGGTTGACTAGTAAATTTCTTTTCAGATATAATAAAGACTCTTAAATATAGATTACACTATCAAAATTGAAGTCAAAACAACAATGGTCTTTCTAGAACAATACATGATTCTATCTCTGCGTGCATTTCAAGATAAAATAATGAGTTTAATCTGGGGTATGTTCATGTTGTAATGCCTACAAATAAAGTGATAGTGAGGGGTTTATATATGCCGTGAAGTGATGCCTTCAAGAGATATCTCTCGGAGCAATACCTCTACAATTAAAAAGTTATAACCATATGTTGGTTTATGAACCAACATAATTTAAATAACTAAAGAATATTTAATATCTTTAATTTCCATGATGAGTTGCATTTTTTAATATGTAGGGCTGCCTTACGAAAACAAGATGACCTTTCACCAAGTGGTGGTTACTATACCTTCTTATATATGCCTTTTGGAAATTAATTTTGATGTCTTTTGGTGTTATAACTTTTTATATAACCCGTCATATAAATATATATTAATTTTATATGAAAACACAACTCCTCATATAAATATATTCATTTGTATGAGAACACAAATATTCATACAAATTTATTAATTTAATAAATTTATATAAAGACAAGACTTTTTAAAAAAACACATCTCTTTATTTTAAAATATTTCAATAACGGGGCTGTAATTCTGTTGAAGAAGACATACTGCATATCCTCCATGACTGCTCATATGCTAGATGGTTATGGATGCAATTACTTAATCCTAGTTTTTATTCACAATTTTTTTAATTACTCCTTTGCTTGATTGGATGGCTCTTAATCCCAAAAGAGAAAGGGGTAAAAATGGAAGCTCAAATTAGTGGGGTCTTATATAGGGAGTTTCCATGTGTAAGCTACGGACATGGAGGAATAATTCTATTTTTAATGATGGCTTCCAAAAGCCCTCTGATCCTGCTAACATCATCATGCACAACTAAACAAACTTTGTTCATGTAAATGATAAGCACAATAGAGAACCTACATATGGACCGGATCAAACTAAACGTTAATGGAATGGAATCCTTATCTGGCATCGAAGCTGGTTGTGGTAGAGTCATAAGAAATCATAATGGGCCATAGATAGTTGGTTTTACTCATATCATCTACTCCAACTTCGGCACTTCAAACCATTTGCTCCATCTTCGTCAACTTTCTCGCTCACCAGCATCTGTCAGATGTCTTATAACACGTTTTCTGTTATTCAAGAGTAAAGATAAGGATGTTCAACTATGTCCTATCTCGACTCGGCCTGATTCGAGTCATTTTGGGGCAAGACAAAAGTGAAATGAAGTGTCTTGTCCAGATATATTTTCTTCTTTTTTTTTATTGTAAATTTTATATATTTATTTTACTTGTTATTTTGATTATGCTGTTACAATTTTTTTTTATAGATATAAGATTTTTTTTGCAGATATTTTGAGGCCATTATTTATTTTCTATCTTTTAATATTATAAAAAAATTTATTTCTTTGTCATAGTTTGATTAATGCCAAATTTTTTGCTAATTTTTATCTCCTTTTCTTATACAATTTTTATCACAAATTTTTATACTTTTCATATTAAAGTAAGTTTTAAAAAATTAAAAAAAAGGGTGGATGCTACTGAGACAAAACAGGACATGAGAGGGTAACTGGACAGGGTTGTCCTGGTCCCATCCCATCCCATGAGTATCCCTACTCAAGTGGTCTTTTACCCAAAACTTGAAATCTCAGTTTTTTTTTTTTTTGCACTTTATGATCAATGTGAGATTTTGCTTATTTGAACGATCTTTTTGGGTTTTCAAATTTTAAGTGGTATTTTATTGGTATTTTTCTTTAAAAATAAGGTGAAATTATATGAATTCAAATATTAAATTTCCCAAATAAATAAAAAAAGAACCCTTCTTCTTTTTTTGGTAGAAAAAGAACTCTTCTTATGAAAATACAAAAAAGATTCTGCTCCTAATGGGCCAGACTACTGGCTTTGACATCTAACTCTTTTCCTAGGACAACGTTGGGCTCATCAAAAACTAATTCAACAGAAATCTCACATTCCCACTGACCCAAAACTCATAGAATGTTTCGGCCAACCAAAAAACAAAAAAAGAAATTAAGAAAAATAAAACAAATACATATAAACCTAACCCTAGGAGCATTTGACAGTATACGAGCTTCACCCAGCGATTTCCCATATAGTCGAAGACACAGGTTTCAGAGGGCTTTGTCCGGAGCATTGCTTTGCGTCTTCATTCTTGCCCTACGTAAGTAATGATACATGCTCAAATCGTGACTTGAGCAATGATCCAGAGAGATTATGTTTTTGAGTGATTTTAATGTGAAGGCACAACGTCTTATTCCTGGGCTTTGTTTAGGATTTTATGATTGACAATACTTTGTGTTGATCTTTGCGCTATTAATTGTGTTTCTGTAGCTAAATAGCCTAATGCAATTGTGTGCAGGGATCGTACAGTTAAACAAGGCAAAAATGGCGTATGCAGCGATGAAGCCCACTAAACCGGGTTTGGAGGAGCCTCAGGAGCAGATTCATAAGATCAGGATTACTCTTTCCTCCAAGAACGTGAAAAATCTCGAGAAAGGTCTCTTTTGTTCTTTATAACTTGTATTATGTTCTGCTTTTTTGTTTAATTTAATGTTAGGTTGGATTCTATCATACTATACTACGTATTGCGGACTCTATGGATAAATATAGCATTTTTTATTGTAAAAGGTCTTCCAGTCTGTAGCTGAATCTCTAGATGTCTACTTTCGCTCCAGTGACAGTTTGAGATTCAACTCTATGGTTTTGAATTTAACCCTGTAGTTTTTAGTATAGGCTTTTTTAATGAATTGCGTTTTACATTCATCTTAAATATGTACATACATGTTCCGGCAAAAAAAGAAATCTATATATACATGTATGTAAAATAAATTCTATACGAAGTCGCACTAGTTATATGTCGTGAATAGGGTCTCAGACTTCATAAGAAATCACATTCGAGTTTGAGTTTGCATTTAAATCTGGAATGGAGTTAAATTCTCTTAGTAATTTGATTGATATTTGCCTGATGATTGAATTTTGCTCATTGGCAGTTTGTGCTGACTTGGTTCGAGGGGCCAAGGACAAGAGGCTCAGGGTCAAGGGACCTGTGAGAATGCCCACTAAAGTTCTTCACATCACCACTAGGAAATCCCCATGTGGTGAAGGTAAGTTTAGCTTGAAAGTTTCCGTTGACCCTGCGGAGCCCATGTTTTTTTCCTTTGGGTTGTTGTTGAATTTTATGAATGATTCTTGCCTTATATATATCTTACTCATTCTAGGGAGAAATCAGAATTGCTGCTGTTATATGTTCATATTTCAGTTTCTGAGATCGTGCAATACCTGCCCTTCTAAAGTTGGTTTTTACTTTTTATTGGTTTGTTCTCACACAATGTCCTTGAGTCTTGCCTTAGTAGATCTATTGAAGTCAAATCTTGGTTATATTAGCAAAAATATGAATTGCTCTGGAGTCTCTTAAAACTGTCTTTACTAAGGTACGAGATGGAGAGTTCTTCTGAGAGGCAATAGGCAATGGGTACGTCAACTTACATGAGGAGCATCCCCAAAAAGAAATATGGTTTGGTAATTACTAGACACAGATAAGAATTAAAATCGAATGCAAGGTATATTTCTAATATAACAAAATTCAAATTATCTGGTGACTCCTTTTGCCAGTCTTGGACTGCTATTATTATTCCTCCAATGCTCTGCTTTTCCTGGTTTCTGCTTTTTCATTTGTTCTTTCAAAATGTCTTGTGAGTCAGATTCAGTTGTTGCTGGTTGTTGTAGTTTTATGCTTCAAACTGTTCCTTTTTTGGGGATAGAGAAGAATTTTTTGGTGCAAAAAGAAATACTTAAAACAGATGTCAAGCTATCCTATCACACAAGAAAACACAAACCAAAATAATCATCGGTGCCTGTGGTTTTGTCATTCCCTTCGTAAATCCATTGGATAATTCACCCTAAGAATCCAATTGCTGAAACTCATACTCTCATTGGGAGACCAGAAGAATAATTCTCTCTCGAAGATGTAACATGGTGGAATCAAATTGTTCTTCTATTCGATGGTTTTTACCGTTACCACTTCCATTGAAATGGTCATCAAAGGCTGATGTTGGTTCTGAGCTATATACTGAGCCACTGTCACATGAATATCTATAATCACATTTATTCAAGTTACACCATTAATAATTTGAATAATTCAAACTTCAGAATGTAGGAATTTGGCCAAATGAAGCACAATATTGGATTGCCGGTTTTCCTTTCGCCTTGTACTAATGGAATGAATTTTGTCTGTTTTGCTGTGCGCTCCAAAATAATGGATTGTGGATTGCCTTGACAATTGTTTGTTAACTTCTATTACTGGTATTCTTTAGTGACATGGTTGTAGCGTTGCTAAGTTTAAATCCAGTTTATCGCATTACATCCTACCACCTTTCATGATAATTGCATGATGTTCTAGTTATTATGGTTATAACTCGATGCCTATTACTTCAGGTACCAACACGTGGGATAGGTTTGAATTACGTGTGCACAAGAGAGTCATTGACTTGTACAGTTCCCCAGATGTGGTTAAGCAGATTACTTCAATTACTATTGAACCTGGTGTGGAAGTTGAGGTTACCATTGCAGATGCTTGATTTGGGCCAAAAATGATCCCTTTTTTCTTTTGGTTATTTTGCCTCTTGGTTAGGAAAATGTTTTTAGTTCAACACTTGGAATCTAGTGTTTGGCACAATGCCTCTTGTTTTAGTTTGAAGTTGGAATATTTTTGGTTTACTTTTTGCTGCTAAAGTTGATAACAGTTAGTTATATGGTTATGGTTATTGATGAATACCTCCTTTTGTTAGCTAGATGTTTAAGCTGTGGTTTGAAATTATATATCGCCATATTATTGCTTGTATAATCACTTTTTTTTCGCCTTTTTGTGTTTTTATTATAATTTGGAAAATGAGATTTGATCATCTTGTTTTTTTTGGGACCAGATGAGATTCTGATCATCTTGAATATTTGCTCAGCTATTTATGACATATAATATTGCCTCATTTATGGTGCAATTCATCCAATTGGAATTGTGTTAGTTACTTCAAAGTTAAAATCACTATTTTGTGATAAGAAGGCAATCACATTAAAATCACATACACTGGCATGTAATTTGATTTCTTGTGGGCGTGGCATTTTTTAATTTGGCATTTATACAATTCTCTGAGATTTGGTGCACAGCAGTCCACTTTGTTTCATACGAGTATTATAATTATTAGTTGACTATCAATGTATTAATTATTTTTAAAAAAATTTATTGTACAACAAAATAATAGCATGGGGAAAGCGAATTCAAACTTATTGTGCTTTGAAAAGTGATTATTTAACATAAAGGTCCTATGAAGCACTAAAAGAAAGGATAGGGATTGGGACTGGAATTAAAAAAAAATTATTAAAAAAAAATTAGCATGAGTAATTGTTTTATGGGATTAGATAAACCAATAAAGGTGGGATTAGAGAATATCACTTCTTCTCATGGTACTCTTATTTTTTAACCTCATATATATAGATTTGTCTAATCTCATGTGACAAGTAATTATTTATGTTAAATACTCTTTTAATAGATTTTTTTATTCTCAATCTCGATTTCAATTTCTCATTTTTAATGCTTCGTACCAAACGGGATCAAAAGGTTTTGCATAACAAGCTATTTTAGAAAAATGATCATATAAATTTGCTGTCAATATCTGAATTAAAAAATTATCAGTAGATCATCTTTTTTCACATTGTAATTTTGCTAGTCACTTGGTTTGCTTCTCCACTTTCTCTCAAGAACTGCTCAAAATGACCATATGGAATTTCAAATAAAAATATTCAATTGTTACTTTCAAAAAGAAAAATTATAAGTAAAACTGTTACTCCCTTTAGTCCTAAATTTATGAGCTAATAGAGCTATTTGACTTGTTTTAAAATATAAGATTTCAATTTATTTTATCATTCAAATTTATAATTTTTTTTCATAAGCCCTCCAAATTAGTTACACTTACTAAGAGGGTTATCTTTCAATAAAAAATGGTTAAAAAAATACTTTATAAAAATCAACATGCCGGAATCATCTGTGTCAAAGAACTAGTGTGTTCAATTTATTCCATCTCGATTGTTCCATCTTCGGGACAAGATAAAATAGTTAATGGGACGTGGGACAGGATAAATCTTTATAGACATAACCAATCATTAGTTCCTAATCATAAGTTAATAAAAGAATAGAAAAAACTTTTTACTATTTTTTTTAAATTCGCTTATTAAATTAATATTTGTGTTCGTATTTTTTCCAATGATTTTTTCCCCTATCAAAAGCATGATTTCTTTACTTATAATTTAGGCTTTCTACATAGTAATTTTTTTAAGTGTTTTTTAATCTTTCAAAAGCCCAATGAAAACAAATAATACAACATAAAGAATAAAAAACACAAATAACCCAAAATCGTAATGATTTGACCAAAAAAAAGAGAGAAAGGAGTCCTGTTCCAATTCCAGCTAGATGGGGACAGTCATGGAAACAAAAATCTTGTCCTGTTTCTATTCACCGAGACGGGTGAGGGCAAATCCATTCCAATCTTGCCTCGTAAACATCCTTATAGATGATCATGACAAAAAAAAAAAAACAAGGAAAAGAATCTCCATGCAGCTTTTGTTGGATAAATTTTAATCATGGAACGAGATGGACGGAATCATGTGCTTTGCAAACACATCAAAAAGCAGTGCCTGAAGCTTTCCCTGAGAACCGTATTGATATTTTTTTTCGAACAGTCATTGACAAGCTAAGCTTGGAACAGAAAGGAAATGAAAATAAAAAAGGAAAAGAAGACGGGATTAGGTGGTCATCCCAAATCGTTCAAGAAGCTAGTGCAGATAGCCATTCGGCTTCTCTTGCAGAAAGAGGTCAGGACATCCCTCTGGCACGTCTTTGAGGAGATTTATAAGAACCGTATTTATATATTAGGAAAAATGTATTGAGATCCGATGTTAGCATAATGCTACAAAAAAGTCTCTCAAAATCTGATAATTGCTTTAGAGTCCCAAAAGGATTTCACTGCAATAATAAAAAAGTGAAAAAAAAACCTTGTTGCCCTTAATAATAAAAAGTGCTAAAAAGAGAGTTGTCAATATAAGTCACAGTAGTTGTCAATGTAAACTGTGATAGTTGTCAATATTACTCCTTCACTTGTCAATATATCTATTGATATAAGTTTAGAAAAATGTGATTTAGGGTCATATAATAACAAGTAATATTGACATATGCTGTGGTGATGATATTGTGATATAATATCATTATTAAAAATCAATTATCACTTATTCTGTGAAGAGTTAATCAATTAGAAGTGATTTCATAATTGCATATAAGTCATAATTGACTTTTAATAACAATATTATACCACATTATTATCAAAAAAATTAGTCCATATGATACGTTAATATTACTTGTCATTGTGTAACTTGAAATAACATTTTTTTAAACACATATTATCAGATAAATTGATAAGTGAAGTAACAATATTGACAACTATCATGGCCTACACTGACAACTATCGCGCCTATACTAACAACTTTCTTTTTAGCATTTTTTCATTACCAAGGACAACAAGGTCCTTTTTACATTTTTATTATTGCAGTCAAGTCTTTTTGGGACTCCAAAACAATTATCATATTATTTCAGCATTCTATCTACTGCAATTTTCTCTTATATATCCTTAGTATTCAAGTACCTTGCTACATTGAATATGATGGTGCCTGGGTCTATAACAAATTTAACTCCTCTAAAATCACTCATCAGTATATAATACTTCTGTCAAAAAAAAAAAATCAGTGAACAGTTATCATTTCAATACTAATTTTAATTGAAACTTGAGTATTATAACATAACCATATAATTTTTAGTTTAAAAAAATACAATTTTATATTACAGTATTCGATTATTTTAAGAGAGAATCAATTTATTACTCGTTTTATTTCTGTTGTATTTCTTAATGTTATTATGTCCTGATAGTTCCTCTGCTGCATAATCTATTGAGTAGGGCTGATGTAAATATTGATTAGACTACATTGATGTTGCCTCAAATTATATAATAAAACAATTAAAATAGAATGATAAAATAAAATTTATTTATTATCAACATTTTATAATGAAATATATTACAAATTCAACAAACGAAAATTAACCATTGTTTAAACCACCGATACGTTAGCCCACAATCCTCGGTCACTACGCATAAGCCATAAGGCAATGCCACTTTTACATCCAAGAGCCTCTTAAATTGAGACGAGTCAACAATTATTATAGTCATAATTCTCTTCTTGCAATTATTAATATTTTTTCTTACAAATTAACAAATTATAAGTATATATGAACTAATATTTATAATTGAGAGAACTATAAATGCCTAATAAAAAATGAATCAAAATTACAAGGACTTGTATATTTATTTTTTCAAAAATAAATATCATTAATTTACTTTTATTATATTATTTCTCTGCTTCATTAGATTTTTTACATAGTCGTTTGAAATATTGTTTTTAAATTTCTTAAAAAAAATTAATAAATAAATTATTAATATTTAAAGAAGGTACACAAACGTGGAAAATCGCAACATGTTTTTCCCCCTTTTCTTTTATGGCCAAAAGAGTAGCGTGGGAAAAGATAAAAAAAAAATAAATAATAAAATCCCAAATGATCACCTAAATAAACAAAATTTGAGTTTAGATATAAGGGACCAAATTAGAATTTACAAATTTATTAAAATGACCATATTGTCTTTTAATTTTTTTCCCCTTAAAAACAACGCACACACCCTCATTGGTTGGCTATCGTCAGAGCTTCCGGATGGTAGTTGCCAAAATTCAGGTGGGCCATCAATCATCAGAGCTCCAACAGCTAGCCAAAGACCAGTCGCTAGAGCTTTGATAGCCAGAAACTTTCTTTTTTGGGGATTTTTTAAGTTAATTAATATGATTAACAAGTTCTTTAATGCTATTAACAAGTTTAATATAACAGTTAATAGCAGATTTTTCAAAAAATTCAGTTAAGAAGTTTGATATAACATTTAACAATAAGTTTTTTCAAAACTTCACAAAGTAATATTTTTACAACTTTAGTAGCCTGGATAACAAGTTAGATAATGATATTAACAACTCTTATAATATCATTAACAACTTTAATAATAAGTTATGTAATGATATTAACAATTTTCATAATCATAGTAATTGCCTAATAAATGAAAAAATTTTGTTGTGCAACCTTCATAGGGAGCTAATATTGAAAACATCAACCATCATAAGAAAATTTTGTCAATGGCAATATTCGAGTTATTAATATCATTATTTGACTTGTTACCTATGTTATTGAAATTATAAAAATGTCACTTTTTGAATTTGTTAGAAAACCTGTTGTTAACTGTTATACTGAATTTGTTAATAGCATTAAACAATTTGTTAATCGTATTACTGTACTTAAAAAAATTCTCAAAAAAATAGTTGCTAGTACTGGAGTTTCAGTGACTAGTTGGCTGGCAAGGTGTTTGATAATTTTTTTTAAGAAAAAAATTAAACAATAATATATTCATTTTAGTAAATTTACAAATCCAAATTTAGTCACTTATACCTAAATTAAAATTTTATTTATTTAGGTGACTATTTGAGAATTTTGAAATTTAGGAATCATTTATCTATTATCTTCCCTAAATGTTATGGCGAAAATAAAAAAGAGAGATTCTAAAGAATGTTGTATAGGTTTATAAAAATTGAAAAAAATAATTCAGTAATATAATTTAAGGTAAAATATAGACCGTGTTTTATAACCCCAACAAAACACCAGCTGGTCGGGGAGGGGCGGCAATTCGTTTCTTGTTCGGCATTCCACACTTCGTCGAGCTCGCTGTTGGACGCCGCCCACCGTTATCAGCCCTGCGTGGCTGTTCTCCGGAAGGAATTGAAGAAGGTACGAACTTTGTCTCCTCACAAAATCCGGTGAGATTTATTTGTTCAATCTGGCTTTGAATCTTTAATTGAATCTGTTCCCGGTGTCAGCTGTTCTTTGTCAACCCTGCGTCGGACGGCGTCGCACAGTTTCTTGCTTTGTTTTAATTTTTTTTTTCATTCTAATTAATTGGAAGATCATAAATTGCTAAAGTGTCATCATTGTCATTCTTTGCCTGAATCAATTGGCTTACTAAGGCATCTTCGTTAGAGTATTTGGAAGGGTATGATATGAATTATGCATATTTCAAATATTTGAGTGGGGGAAGATGCCTCCATGGAGTGTAATATACATACTTTGTCCTTGGTTTGACATGTCGCTGGCCAGAAATAGGGATTATGTTCCTATATTTGTTTGATCAATTGTTACGCTCGGGAGTCAAAAGGTTGTTGATTTTGAAAAGTCAGAATACTTGATAAAGTTCCTTGGTTTTAGACTCCTCCCCTCAAATCATATGTAGGTTAAAACCCAGTTGGGGGGTTGGCTGAAATCTATTTTTACACTTCAATCATTTTATTTACGTGGTGTGGACCTTGTCACACAGGATGTGACAGATTGCACCTGAAAATTGCATGCAACATGTCATTAACGACTATTTTTTTGGTATAATGGTAAGCCCTACCACCCAATATCCAGCTTTAGAAGTGGTAATACAGGTCAACCCACGCAAACCGTGTAATAGCGGTGCGGGTTAGAAAGGTTCTGGGTAATGACGGGTTGGTTTTCAGTCAACCCTAATCCGGCAATTATTATTATTTTTTTAATAAATTTTTAAAATTTTTTTTCTTATACAATATAAAAAAATATAATGAAATTTTTATCTTTTCTTCAAATACTTGATTAAAAACACCAGATAAATAAATGATAGAGGTATTTTTTAATTTTTTAGATAGAATATAAAATATAATAATATACATATAATGATTAATAAAATTAAAAAAAAAAAAAAAAGCGGGTTGGTGGGATAACCCATGGGGGTTTGTGGGTTAGGTAGTGTAAGTTGAAAAGCTTTGTTTACTGACAGGTTGACTTTTAGCCAACCCTAACTTGTCATTTTTAGTAGGTTGGCGAGTGAGACCTGTAGGTTTAACCTATATTACCGGCTCTATCTAGCGTCTTCTCAGGACATTGGCCTTCTAACATGGGCCAGATATTCAAGCAACCGGCCAGTCTGGGTTCAAGGAGTGAGAGTGGGTCATTTAATGGGTTACCTCCTCTACAAACAAGAGCACTTTGCATTATTTGAACTTATGTTATCCTCTTTAGGCGTGGCCACTTACCACCTTGACAATGCTTGTTGGTTACATATCATTAACAACTAACAACAATGAAAAGGGGAAAATTGATATCTGTATTTTCCAAAAAAGTTTGAGACCCCCTACTTAGTTTGTTTTCATCTTTTTGTTGAAGATCAAAAGCAGAATTAACACTATATAACAGACAGAAGAATTACAGACAAGGGTGAACGCAGACATTCCCGTGGTCTTAATACCAAAAGACATGGTATTTTGTGTGCGCATTCAACAGATCTAAGTTCTATATTCCTCCATGTATACCCACACTTCTGTCATTTGTTTTTGTGATGTAATTCATTTGGGATCTAAGTTGGAATTTATGCTGGGCAGCACTTTGTAAACAAGAATGGAACTTAGCAGGATATAGAAGGGGAATTCTAATATTTTTAAAACCATTTGAGGGGGTTTGGTGATGGGACTATAAAGTGTGGGTGGGTGGAGAATCTGCTGAGTTCTCTGAATGTTTAAAGGAGTTGGTGCATTTGGTAGGTATTTTATGGAGATGTGGATTTGAATAACTTGTTTGTCAAGTTCCAAGTTATTTGCAGCCCTAATTCCCTAATATGTCTCTCTTGTTTTCTACATTTGCTTGTCTCCATGGTGATCCTTGATTTTTTTTTTTTTACTGGAGTTATTGAGCTATTGAGATACTGCATTTGAATAACAAAACCTTTAAGGAAAATATTATTTGAGAAATGTGGCTTGTATGATAAGAAGATGTGCAAAGGTAGGCAGTATGATAAAGGAATAACTCAAGATTTTTCTCAAGATTGGACTACAACTTATTTAAGTGTGCAACTTATTTGTGCAGTTACTAAAGTAAAACCTTAGTATTATATTCATCTTACTGATTTCTCCACTTGCAGGTAATACTTCAGCTAAAGGTTTAACTTTAAACCTGTTTAAGTGCTGGAGTGTGACGTGTGAATTTTTTGGTACCTGACCTGTTTGATGAAAATGGAGACCCAAGTTGCAACCTGCTATTTGACCTTCATCAAAAAAATATCTTGTTTGCACCATCTTCCATCTAATTCATGTATGTCACCACTAAAATTTGACCCCCTCTCTCACATGTCCCCAACCTTAAGAGCAAACACTTCATCTAGATTGCGATGGATGCCTATTCCAAAATCACGGCAGTCTCTTCAAATTTGCCTAGCTGGTGGAAGAGGAATGATGGAAAATAACAATGAGGTAATACGATTTGACTTTATAACTTTGTATTGAATGTTATACTATAAATGCTTATATTATGCATAGCTACATTTTGCTGGTCTTGCTGTGAGAAATCTTCTTCAGACATCTTGCCATAGGCTATTTCAGCAGGTCCTTAGCTTTTCCTCCCTTGTGCCATCTGATGTGGCAATATATATTTTAGAATTCAGACTCTAATATTACAATCTCCTCTTCGTTTTGTTTTCTTGCCATAGGCCATATTGGCAGGTTCTTCATCTAATTAATTTTTTTCTTGTTTCAAATGTGTGAGATAGTACTCTGGCTTGCAAAACAAACCTACACCATTGTTGGAGACGTGTCAATACCCTTTTTAACTTCTATGATAAATATCTGGATGTTTATTAGCTCTGCTGATGAAGTAAGAAAACTTGAAAATATATTGAAACTTGAAGATTTTTGGTTTTCACTTCAGTGTTATCACACCACCTTGAAAACTGGAAGCGTGTACAAAGCAAAGAACTGTATTGGCTCTATAGCCACGACTATGAATAAGGACTAGACTATGATGCATCTCCTTATATCTTTACTACCAGGTTCTTCAATTGAAACATGAGAAGTGTACGGTATTTCCATGACGATGTGAGAAGTGTATAATTTAAATGAAAAGCCATACGCTTGTGATTTTATTAAAGAACCATGCTTTGTCATATTTTAAGTAGAAAGCCAAATGATAAACTCATAGAGAAGTGTATAGATTTCTTTTCCTTATGAATTATGCATATTTGACAGAGGCATTGGAAAGGACAGGTGCAGGTGTGTGGGCACAAGTAGTTTAAGTGTTTTAACTGTTAATTATTGTTTCTTTGAAGCGCATATTTAAAGTTCCTTGACCTGATCTAGAACAAGTGGGATCTGCGATGACCGTATATTTTATTAACTCTCTAAAGTGCTCAGATTTTTCTTTCACTTATTATTTCTATCTTGAGGAAATATAGATTTAATGGGTGTTGGTTAGATGCATTTAACTATCATCACTAATAATTATCTTTTACGTATTGTGGTATGGATATTTGTGCCTGTTACTAAGCATGATAAATGCCATTAATTAGGATTCTCCATGGAAGGGAAGGTCAATAGAGGAGGTACTACAGCAGCTGATTGAAAAGCAAAAATATGACAATGGGAGCAGTGGGGTAAAGCCTCCAAGAGGGGGTGGCGGCGGCGGCTCTGGTGGATCAGGGGAGGGAGGCTTTGCCGGGAAGTCTAATGAGACTCTTCAAGTTGTTTTAGCTACCATTGGATTTCTGTTTCTGGTACTCTTCTCTCCTCTTGGCATTGGCTGATGTGTAAAGAATTGCCTCATCTTTGTAGATTCATGACCTTAGTTTATCTTTTATTGTTAAAAATGGAGAAAATGGAAATGTATAAATAGATGAAAAAATCAAGTGGAAGTAGCTAAGTGAAAGAAAGAAAAAAGGTAATTTTGTATACACATCGTGAGAGCAAGATAACTGCCAAGTGTAAGACCATATACAACAAGTCTCATCCCACTAAATGGGTTCACCATAAGAATTCCAAGTCTAACTGCATGTAATAATAACTATAAAAAGGGTGATACCTTAGGACCTTTGCTGAAGTCTTTATAATGCATGAGGTTAAGCTTGCAATATATTTATGGACACACTGATGGGGGAAGTAGCTGAGTAATAAAAGAAAGGGTATTGTGTATGTATAGTGAGAGGTTGAGAGCAGGATAACTGGCTCATACCACTGCATTAACCTTATGCTTGGTATGAGAAAAATGGAGGGAAGGGAAGAGGAGGTGAAATTTTAATTAGTTTGATTCAAGATATTAGAGAAGTGGGGTTATAAAATTTTAATAAAGAGATTATGTAAGATAAAAGAGTAAAAAAAATTAATTAAAAGCTTTTAACCCTACTTTTTCAATTTTTAAAATCAAACTCATCAAAATTTCTCCTGTTCATTTTCGTCATAACAAACAGACCCTAAGAAATGTGATACCTTTAGACACTTGATGAAGTCTTCACAATGCATGAGGTTAAGCTTGCAATATATTTTATTTACGCATTGCTGTTGGATAGAGAATCACCTTAGACATCGCTCACTGGGTTGGTAGGTGATAATGCCATGCTTCATTTGTTAACTTCAAGTTCTACTTTTCCAGTATATCTATGTCCTCACTGGCGAGGAACTCACAAAGCTAGCTAGGGACTACCTGAACTATCTCTATAGTGGAAGACGAAGTGTACGATTAAAGCGTGCCATGTTCAAATGGGAACGACTCTGCCAGGGCCTGACAAATAAGGTGGTGGATAGGCATTGGTTGGAGAAGGCTATGCTCAAAAGGAATTACTTGCTGCCAAAATCAAATCAATAAATTTTTCTGGACTTTTGTATCATCCTGTCTTGATCTTCCCTATGTTTCCCCCATTGATAAGAAAAGATAGAAAAAGTGTTTGGCTAAATCAATATGAATATAAAGGTTTCTCTTTTTAGGACATTTGAGAACGTGAGATTTACGGTTATGAATAATATCACTTGCAGATTTTTGCACAACTTCTGTGACCATGTGTGTTTAGATGTGTGATTTTTAAGTGGGAAGTGAGAGGTACGAATACGAGTCTTAGTTATATTTATTATTATTACTAAAACTAACATATACTTCCCCGCGTAACATTATTAAGACAAAACAGTCAAAAACACTTTCAAAGCAATTTTAGCAAAACAAAATGACGTATTGCATGTACTACGATTTCGATTACAATTTATGTACGGGTAATGATATTCAACATATCACAAAATATTAGCTTTCAGGATTGGCCAACTAATTGTAAGCAATGAGATATATTTGTAGACAATTTAAATTACGTAAATACTCACCAAGAGTAAGTACTCACCTTACTTTAAAACAAGGAGTACTAACGTTGGAGGCAAGATCAATCGAAAAAAATGAAAAACTCATGACCAGCGGTCAGCTCAATGGCGGATCGGAAACGAAGGACGTAAGGGACGATGAAAAAATAGGAGAGGAAGGAATTTCAAAATTTGAAATTTGAATCTCCCATTATCATTCTCTATAATTTCCAGTCAGGATGTAAGGAGAGTTCATGGAGCCCAACATGCAATGCCTCATTTTGTTTTGAGAGAAGTACTGTTCACATGAACAGTACTTGTGCGAGGAGCCCGTTAGAGAATATGATTGGCTCGGCTCCTTTTATGCTATACATATTAAAGTGATATAGATATGGATGTTTGATGATTTGATCTGCAACTGGCATTCCAATATTTATTACCATCTGAATCAATTATTCCACGTAGTAGAATTTTGGGAATATAAATTTCTTCAAATAATTAGAGCATCCAACAATTGAATAAAGTGAGACTCTGTCAAGTGAAGTTTATCATGTCTCATTGGACGTTCACAAGCAAAAGTTCGTCCCAATTTTTCAAGATATATAATGTATATTACATTCATATCATTATTTAACGTTACTTATTTTTTTATTTATCAATACAGTGTTAAGACCTATAATAAGTTATCCTATGCACTAAAATTCACCATATAAAGCTTCTTGTGATGAACGAAACCCAAAATATAGTTTTTCTTAGGTTAAAGTATATATTTGGTTTTTCAACCTTGTACAAGGTTTTAATTTAGTCCCTTAACTTTAAAAAGTATACATTTGGTCCTTTAACTCTAAAATTATTAGCCTTTAATAATGATTTTTTTTTTGGTAACAATCACAAATATTTTGAAAATTAAACTTAATATGTTAGCATTTGAGAATATTTTATCAACACTTAATATCTTAATTTCATCATTTTTTTTAAAAAATTTTGAGGCTAAAGGACTAAAAGTATACTTTTTAAAGTTAAAAAACCAGATTAAAACCTTATACAAAATTATATGACCAAACGTATCATTTAGCTGTTTTTCTTATTCAAAGTGATATTGTAGATAATACGTATATACAGGAAAAAAAAACTTAAGCCAAATTGTTTATATTCATTAGGTCAAAGTTTCTAATCATATTTGTTATTTTGATATTATTAGTTGTTTAAATGCATTTGTGCACTTGTAAATTCACATAAAAATAATTATAAATTTTTTTATAAACCTTTATAATGTATATCAGGATTTGTAAATTTTTATATGGACACTTGTGACTTTGTTATTCTTAGTTGTTAAAATACTTATGTACATTTATGGATTTACCTATGAAATATGGACACTTTCTATTTTGCCATTGTTAATTGTTCCGATGTATATGCGTACATATAAATTCACTTATATGAACTTGAACTAATGACATAAGCAACATTTTTTTAAATTTTGTTTTTTAAAAAATTAGTTTTTGAGTCATTCAACTTTTAACTTATTTACAACTCAATTTTTGAACCATGACTTAGTCCAACTTAATTCTTAAATTTTTAACTCGGTTATGACTCAATCCCACATCTTTTGAAATTTTACAGTATTACCCTTCTCATCTTTAGCTCAATCCTATGTGGCAAAAATTACCTCCAACTCAGCACTCCACAAGGGTTTTGTTTTTTATAAAATTTAAACAAAAAAAAAAACACAAAGCAAGTCGAACTTGAGACCTCATTTAAACGGTACCAAGCCGCTTACCACTTGGACCAACCCCTGTTGGTAGCACAAAAAGGTTTTTAATTCTTCTAACAAGTGGCAAAGCTGCTTACCATATTAACTAATAGCTTATTGGTTAGACTTTGTATGTTTTTTCCTCTATAAATAAATATTGTTTACTTGTAGATTGGTATTTTTTTCCAATTTAAATATTTATCTTTAGAATTATATATGAATACTATTACATATTTTGATTAAATTATACAATTTTAATCATAATTGGATTGAATCCGACTCCACTATGATTATATTACTCACCCTTGAATTACTTACGGTCTCTCCACCAGTTTAACGGCTGATTCATTTTTTCATACATAATGAAAACAAGTCAGGCATGATAACATACGCTTCAAATGGCCTCAACAACTAGTCAATTACACCATGGTATTCATATAAATTAAGCTTCATCGATCTCAAAACCAAAAATTCAAGGGAAATACGAGATGGTACCAATCCAAAGCTAAAAAGAAAAAAACAGAAAAACAAAAGAAAAAAAGAATAATAAAATCTACTCATCCGAATTTGACTCCAAGTAATTTAAAACCACTTCACGATAATCATCAGGATCATTCCACCAAGTGGGAGTATTGAGAATGGCCTTCTCCAAACAATACTTGTCAACTGCTTGCTTCTCTGTTATGGCGAGATAGTATTGCCCCCATTGAGACATTGCACGCTTTAATCGAACACTTTGTTTCCCTGTAAACAGATATCTGATGTAGTCCCTAGCTAGCTTTGCCAGTTCTTCACCAGTTAGGATATAGATATACTGCGAAAATGAATTAATTTTGAAGTTAGTAAATAGGACATGGCAATATGATATGGCCTAACAGCACTGGGCCTCATGTGTAATTTGGATCCTTGCCGCGCTTATCTCCCCCAATTGCTCAAGTGAGGTGTATTGGAGTGAGACAAGTTTGTCAACAATAAAATAAAAATATGAATATAACATAAATATTTTAACTTTTATATTGAACTTGAGCAATGGGGAGATAAGTGCTTCAGGGGATCAGTTCTATGTGTAAGGATTTGCAAACGTAAAAATCAATCATTTAAGGTTACAAAGGATTTGAATTCCCTTGATTGCTCAAGTGAGAAGGACAAAGATAGAGTGTGACCACATGAGATTCACCTCTAAATTTTCTCACTTGAACAACAAAGTAGTTGAGAGGATCCAATGTTATAAGCGATTTATTGTTTCCTTAGTTAATTCAGCTTGAACCCCTTTTTCATATGATAGTTTTTGTCCACAATAAAATAATAAAGTCATTCTCATCCAACCATGACGCTCTCATTTTTGTTAAAAATAAAATAAAAATAAAAATAAAAATTGTAAAATGAAACCATGATGCTCTCATGTATGCATATAATGATGTAAACCCATTCAAAGGGAGAGATAGTACCATAAATATAAAGCCCAAAGTTGCTAAAACCGCTTGGAGAGTCTCGTCCAACATCTCACCAAAGCTTTCCTCCTCTGATCCACCAGCACCTCCTCCGTCGCCACCCCCTCCCCCTCCCCCTGGTGGCTTTGCCCCACTGCCCCCATCATCAAGATATTCTCCCTTTTGAATCTGCTGTCGCAAGACGTCCTCTACAGACTGTCCCTTAAATTTTTCCATTGCTTTCTCAAGAGCTTTCCATGGTGAATCCTGATGGCATCATTATAAGTGGAAAATGTGAACATAGTCAAACCACAAGAACCTAAGCTACCCTGAATTCTTTTCGCTACGATCCCCCAGACGTGATTTGTAGAGGCTCATGACAACAGAAAAATAAGAGAGAATTTAATTCTTCGTGTAAAGAATACTTACAGCAAAGGCAATAAACTCATATTTCAAAATAAATTAAACTTTTCTTGCTTTACGCATAAACAGTCATAAAAAAGGACGCAAAACCACAGATTTATAATACATGTCAAATAGGGTACGAAGATCAAGACCAAGTTTATGTTGGAGGACATTTAAAATCAGAAAAGGCAAGCTGAATGCAGACAAATGATTTAGTTAAATTAACAACAGGAAAACACATAGGAAGTAGAGGTTTCAGAATGAAAGCTAAGCCCAAAAGTAATGTTTCTAAATCAGACAGCTCAAAAGGCTAAGCTCCAACTAACAGAAAATGGACCGAAGTCTGAAGAACTTTCGTTAAACAACTTAGCTACGAGCAACATAGTAATAATAACATCTAATACCTAAATGTTTAGCTCAGAGGATATGCATTACCTCACTATTATTTCCCATCATTCCTTTTTCACCTGCAAAGCAGACATGAAGAGGTTGCCTTGATTTTGAGAATGGCACACATTGCAAGCCAGATGAAGGTTTTCCTGGGCTGAGTGAAATCCTAGAGAGAGGGCCAGTATTAATTGGAAATGCATCTTTGGAAGGACGGCAACAACGAGATATATTTGTGATATAGATCCTAGGCTGGCATGCAGTAACGTGGATGCTACTCATCTTTCTGTATATTGATCAAGCACACCAAAGCTCACACATTACACATTGGCGCTTGTAACCAGCCTTCAAGTTCGAATTCTGTCAGCTGAAGTATAATTACCTGGAAACAGTGAAAACTTTGTAACCAATATATGATGTTAAATTAAGATATGAAAGATCATAAAAAGTAAACATGCAAATGAAAAATGATATTGGAGAATTTTTTTTTCCCCCCAAGTAGTAGTTCAACACTCCAACATGAAAAACAAGAAAACAGAATTCCTCTAAAATATTATCCACTTTTACACATATTCTCATCAACACAGTCATATCTCTCAAAAATCACTTTCCTTCAAAATTTCAAACCAAAATATGGTCGCTTTCAACTAGTCAGTATCTCCTATAACAGATGGAGTAAGAAAAGAAACATTAGAAAATAATCAACAGAAAAAAGCACTTTCAGCAACAACAAAAGGAAACAAAAAGGGTGCTGGATGCAAATGAATCAGAATTGAATTACTTCAAATAATATCCTAATAAAATCCCACATGTACCCTCGCCTTGAAAATCTTCAGAGGTCCTAGTATATGCACACCTAATGAACAAGCATAAATCACACAATACCGGATGTACTTCTGTGAGATGGCAGGGGCATGGATAAAAAATAGGCTGAAACTAAATGGGCCAGAAGACCAGATCCTAGACTACGTCAATGAGGTTAAGTAAAACATCCTTAATTTCATGTCTCCCAGGAAATAAACTTCCTTTCAGCAAAAGCTCAAACCCTCAATCTCACGTGGAGCTCTGTGATCAGCTTCCCAATCCAAGTGGAGAAACAATAGTTGAATGTGGAAGCTTATCTTCCATGCTGAACATTTCATTCACCATTGGTGGCAAAAGTATTTGACCTCTCACCAAACCAGGTATCGCAACTTTCAAACCCGTCTTTGGGATGCTACATAGTTTATGCCATGACTAATAGGACATTTCCATGAAACAGTATGTCCTGAAAGCGGAAGATGAAGAGGCAGCACCCTGCATTAGTAGATTTAAAGCTTTGGATACAGCCCCTCCCCAAGGGCCTCTATGCTACTATTGTGACTTCTTGAGCATATAGCTTTCAGCTTCGTTTTGACCTTCTGTTCGATTAAAGTCTCACTGAATTCCTTATGGATTCTTTGCTCCTTACTAAGATGCTTAGAATCGTCAAGCCTTAACTTCGGTGATGTTGATTCTTAAATGCAGGATTCTTGGGGATATCTTCATGAGTAGCTGCCACACAGTTTTTGATTATGGTAATAATACAGTTGGGTTCACTGAATCAGCATAGCAATATGGTTCTATTTGAGAAAATAGATAATACCACAAGTAGGAAATTTGAAAAACAGCATCTTGCTCTATTTTTGCTCATTTTTAAATAATATACACAATGGTTCGGCAATCTAATATTTATTGGCATTGTAACAAACTCTTATGGTACTTAAATGTGGTCTAAGGTCAAACAGTATTATATACAGGGAGAATATTAGCCATAAGCAATTGTAAGTTACATGCGGAAATTAACTACCCAAACTCTTAGTGACTGACATCCTCACATTTCCAACACAAACAATTAAAGCAAAGGTAGACTGTAAGGAAGAGCAGGTCATGGGGAGTATTGGTACTTTCTTATCTTTGTTTTCCTTTTCATTCATCAGGAATCGGATTCCAACTTCAGCAGAGATTTCTTGATAAGAAGTTGAAACCCAAATCCAACTATTAGTGAAAGGGAAGAGACCGGGAGAGAGAGCTAAAAAAAAAAAAACACCATTAAAAACCTATGCGACTCTGTGGCTGTGCAAAAACAGAAGAAATCCAAGACCAAAACGGCTGGGTACCTTGCGATAAGGATGAAGAGATTGGGTGCGCCAGTGAGACTCTGAAGGAAGCTGGAAATGGAATATGTGATGACGGAGGAGGAACAAATGAATTTCGGTGTCTACAGTGTTCGTTGAAGATGAACCCAATGGTCCGAAACGTCAAAATGAGAGCCCGCGAGAGGAAAAGGACTTGGACTTTGGACCAAGAACGCACATCATCTGCAGATGGCACCCTGTATTGCCAGTATCCAGAGAAGAGAAGCCGTCCATTTATTTTCCAAAAAAAAAAAACAAAGGAAGCCGAAAGCCGAAAGCCGAAAGCCGAAAGCCGAAAGCCGCCAAGAGACATAGGATGTTATTTAGGGGGTGTTTCGCAAAACCAAAACCAAAACCAAAGTTTCAAAATCACTTTTTCGTAAAACGAGATAATCTCTTCCACATATTTACTTCGTAATCCGTAAAAACACTTTTGAAACCATGGTTTGGTTTCTATCCAAATACCCATTTAAAGGCGTATAAATTTATAAATAATTAATCTTTTTCAAAAATATTTGCAAAATTTCAATTATTTGAATTTGATAATATTCTTGTAATGATTTGATAGTAGATTTCCTAATTAAAATTAATGAGAAACTCTGTTCCGAATCAATATTATAATGCTTAACTTTTTAATATATTTTTTAGAGTAAAATACACCGACCACTTTTTTTATTTTATCTCAATTATAGAGATCCCTTTTTTATTTTGAAAACATGTATAAACTTCCCTTAAAATCAAAATGTATGTTATGCAAACCTCTCTCTTATATTTAAGATTCTATTTCCATCCATCTAAAATCGTTAGTTGACCGTTAAGTTTGACTTTTAAATTTTTTTGACCAAAATGCCCTTTTTTAACATAATAATCATCTAAACATTTATATTTTTCAAAAAAAATATTTTATCAAATCAACAAATAGTTCTAATACTTATATTTTAAAACTTCTAATATGTTATAAAAATTATTAATTTAAATTTAAATTATAATATTTTATAATTTTAAGTTTTCATCACATTCATTAAAATTATTTATTTTGATTTCTTTTAAATTGCTAAAACATATTTCAAATATATAGTTCTTGTCACATCCCAAAAATCTTCACTCGGTTATAAGGGATTAAAAATTGGGATGAGGGTTAATGTAGGAACTAGACGGGGAGATAAAACAACTTTTGATGTGAAACCCCTATAAGGTCCAGGTTGGCATTTTCGTAATGATCGATCTTGGAAAAACCAAACAGAAAAATTTGAAAAAAATTCTAGAAAATCCCCAAAAGTGGGAAAATTATAGAGTAGAGGTTTTGGAAACTCGGTTAAAGCCCAAAAGGTAGAATTTCGGTGAAAATGAATTATTACGGAATTTCCTGTAAATGGAGGTTTTTCAGGAAATTATTGAAAAATTAGAGAAAAATAATTATTTTAATTAGTTAAAGGCCTCAATAAATGTGCGATATTGATGGATAAATCATCTAAATATTTATTAGAATTTATAAAATTGGTTTTAGGCCTTGAAATTTCAGGAATTAATTATAGGGAATTTATTTTCCCGCAGTGACATTGATAAAGGCCTAATCGGAAAAAATTCAAAATAAATACCTAGAGGTGGTAAAAAATCCTGAAAATTTCCAGATCATACTCCCATATTAAAAAGTGAATTATCATAGAGAGAAATAAATTTTTGGAGGTCTGAAAAAATTATGAAATATTACTAGTGAATAGTAACTGATAAAGTTTTTAATTAGTTTGAAATAGTGATTTGGTTTGTGGGCTAATCCAAAACATTTGTGAGGCCCACGATGGACCCAAGAAGAGCCCAAATTCGTGCACTTTCCAAATTCCATCATTTTTACTAAATAAAAGTGAAAATCAAGAGAAAATGGTTAGGAAAATCTAGTGCAAGTCCACATGTTCAAATCTGATCAATTTCCACACTTGATGGTGGCTACATAACCCCATTGAGCTGTTCCAATTTGGCCAAATCAGGAGGGAGGAGGAGCAGCTCATTTTCTCTATAAATACCCCTGAAAATACAAAGAAAATGTTAGAAAATTGAGAAAAATTTTCATATTTAAATTTTTTTAGTTGAAAATTTTTTTATTTATGATATATATCATATGTATACCAATTAAAATTAAGTTAAATAATTTATTTGGATTGTTTAACATATTATTGAGATTTTAATCAGTTTACAGAATATATTGTTAGAAAATTTTTGAAGTTTGAAGCTTAACTTATAAATTAGGAATTTTATACAATTAAAAAAATAAAATAAAATAAAATTAGAAATTTAACTAAAATATATAAGCCTAATTAATTAATTAGATTATATTAATATGTAGTTATAGTAATTATGTAAATTAATTATTGGTTGAGCCCAAGGTTAACCTTGTGGTAGTCTTTTTTTTTTATTGCTTTAGCTAGAGGTAACCACTTTCTACTTGTTATATGTACTAATATGTTATTTGTGAGTGTAATCTTCACCGCTTACTAACCAGAACTAACCACGATAGAAAGGACTAAAACTAGTAAACATACCCTATCATGGTTATTTAAGAGCAATCACATCATTAAGGGGCTAACCATGATAGAAAAACATTTGATCTTAATTAAGGCTATCATGGTTAGAAAAAAAATAACCTATATTTGTAATCATGGCAAACATGGTTATAAAACAATACACCTTTGAATGATAATTTATAATAGCAGTTTAGACTTGACTATCTTAGTCAATACTAGCAACAACTAAACTTGCAAAAATTGCCATTGTCACATCGTGGATCCACAATAATTCAATCACATACAATCTAAGGGCCTCGGGCCCACTATCAGTACTCTAGTCTAAGGTTCAGACAAAATAAACCAAAGATAAAAGGTATAATGCGTTCATTAAATTAAATGACATAAAAATATGAGAAGGTAAATAAGTCTCAAATGAATGCAATCCTGATGCGTGGCAAGATACGAAAAGATTGCATAAAATAAGGTCCAGAAGCTTTACACTGTCAGCTACAGCTATTGAGCCTCAAGAGTCTTCCCCGAAGGTCCCGCTAACATATTGTTTCCTGAAAATGGTAAAGCAACAGGAATGAGACAACGTCTCAGTAACTAAATCCCTACCTATCACACACCCTAGCATGGGCTAGCGAGGTGTCAGGTGGGATACACAGAGTTAATAATAGTTGATAAATATTTATTTAACATTTAAACTCACAATAATCATATAAGACAAATATTTCTACTAATCTCATGCAATTGATACATTTCAAAAGAGATAACATACTTGTCATTTATTTAAAAGATATAAACATCAATGAATATCCCATGTCATATGCAATTTTTTAACCCAAATCCATCCTTATATCCTCCTTATTTCTGCCGGGACCCATGGGCTAAGTTCTTTCCATTTGACTGGCAACTCTGACGAGCTCACCACACGAATGATGTGGACTGGCCAAAGACCACAAAGCACTCGGTGGACCATAGGTCCCCCCTCGAAGAACTAGTGGGGTGTCACAGTCCCTCGAAGAACTAGTAGGACAATAATAGCAGCCAACCATAGAGCTCCGTATGGAGGCTAATAACACGTGGCAAGTATATGAATCTCAATAACTCCAATTACCTCTTTTCCCCACCCAAAATAGATGCACAGGGTTCAAAATAACACATTTATATGTATAATCAACAGAATTTCATAATAACACATCATAATCATGATCACCAATTTCTTGCAATACAAACTATGTCAATCCTTTTTAAAATAGCATCCCACAAGACAGTTCATACAAAACATAATATACTTTTATAGAATTAGTTATAAAGCCTCTCACCAACTTCATACTAGAGCATGCAACAGATAGAAATTTAGTTACCTGGTCTCCTAGCTATCAGTTAACTACAACCAGAGTCCAACCTCGAAAATACCAAAATAGAGTTTGTATCTACAAAAAAATTAAAATATTATCTCTGTAGTATTAGAGTAGGCTACTCACAATATTATCTCTAAAAGCTTTAATTTTACTCAGAACTCTAACCTAAAAGACATTTTTCTAAGGTTGGGAATGAGAACACATATATATATGATTTAGACTCGATTCCTAAATTTTTCTTGCTTAAATGTCCTTTAATTATTAGATTATATTATTAGAATCATCAAATTCATAATGTAAATAGACAAATTATAAATTTATAACTTATATTCCATCTTCGAAAGACTTAGACTAATAGACTTAGTACGAACCAAGTTATTCTCACTACAGAAGTGAAACCTATAATCTAACCGTTGAATTTAATTTCCTATCTATTATGATACTATCTTCCAAATTATAGCTCAATCTTACGGTGAATAAACTTTAAAATGCTAATTTACTATTCAGGACTCTATCTGCTAAATCTAAAAGATATAAGTTAAAAACGTACTTAATAACTTGTAACTAGGAGATCAAAATGATGATGCAACCGTTGAAAATAACGATTTGAATGTCCCAAATGAGCTGACCAAATTTCAGTCTGATCCAACGGTTAATAAAATCAAAACTAGCACTTTTCTGAGACTACCTCAGATATGTGCGAAAATTATTTACTCACTCCAAGCTCCACTCACTAGCTCCTATATATAGGCTCCTCAAACACCTTCACTCTAAGGATTAGTCGATGTGGGACTTCTATACCATGATATAATTTCCTAGAATATCATCCACACACACAATTACCCACAAAAACATTATTAAAATAATAATAATAATAATTTGCCTATCTAACCCTTTTTTTTATTAACTTAATACTAAAATATATTTATTTATAAATTTAATTAAATAGATAAAAATAAGGATGTTACAGTGAGTATTTTGCTATTTTGTTTATGAGTATTTTGCTATTTTAGAGTAATAATATGCTATTTAGAACTTGAAGAAATGTATTACACCTTTCGAGCTATGAAAATTGTTTTTTAAGTTTTTAGAATTGTGGCCAAGAAGTTTGGGACAAAAAAATATATAATGTATGATTTATACTTTATGGAGTATATTAAGAAGATATTGGCATATTTACGGTGATATTGTGATTGATCGAATGTTGTTTAGATTTGGAGTTAAATCCTGTTTTACCATGTGATAAGGCTACTACTGGTGTATATTGATTAGCTTCCTTCATCCCCTATAATGAGAGATAGACTCTTGTGGCTCCTTATTTGTCCCTCAGAATGAGGGATAGACCTATAGGTATAGGTGTGATTGATCTCTCATAACGAGGGATAGACTCAATGGCCTATGTGTTAGCTTTATAGTGAGGTTTTAGATTATTGAGATTATTTTAATATACATGTTTTATACTTCTATTGATATATCTATATTTTTTAAGAATTAATAATTGTCCCACTTGATAACCCATGAACAAATGTTAGAATGTATAATGAGTTAAAAAATTAGTTACTAAGGCTTTTCACCCTATGGTTTCTACTATTTTTTAAGTGATAGTTCAAGTGTGGTATATGAAAGAAGGTTATGGAAGCTTAATATGTTTTTATAGCTTATACAGCCTCGCTCCTATTGGTCTATGTGCCGCTTTATTATGTATTTTCACATGGTTAACTTGACGGTTATTTTTACACCGTTTTGAAAACTTTACATGTACTTTTATATCCAAAATCATGATATCAAGTGTGCATAGTAAAATCCTTTATTAGTAGATTTGCACCTTAATTGAAACTTAAATTCTCAAAGTAACTGTAATTGATTAAGAATATTTTCATTCATATATTTATTTGGGAAAATTGAGAAAAATCCTTAATTGAAAAATTAATTAGCCTATGGTGGTTCCGAAAATTTGGGAAAAGTCTGAGGTCCTTCAAAACAAATAAGGGGAGGGTAGAAAGACAAAATTGCCCCTAAAGTAAACAATCAAGAAAAACAAAGAACGAAAACGCAGATGAAGGTATAGCTGAAGAGCGAAAGCGAGGATGGCGTAGACCAGTGAGCAAGCAAGGGATTCCAACGCTAGAGATGGCGGCAGTGATAGAGGTAAGGTATTTCAGAAAAAGAAAGCACCTTGTGGGTATTATTTCTTTATAATTTTTTTTTGTTGACATTTTCCTTTTTGGTTCAAGTCATTCTACGGCAGTTTTTTCCCCTAAAAATTATCATCATCCGCAGAAATAACATATTTAAATCGCATTGCTATTGAGCAATTAGCCTTTTCACAAGGGGGCTTCTGTGTGTGTGTGTGTTGTGCGCGCGCGCACGCGGATAAGACATTTTAGAGCAAGCGATAGAAAAGACCCATGCATCAACATAGAAAAGATCCATTCTCCGTTGATGTATTGATAAGCAAGTAAATATTTTGAGGGGCTACGATGAGAGTCTAGAGTAGTGAAGATTGTGTTATTATTTGGTTAAATTTTAATGGACCTCTCTGGTTAGGTGATGTATGAATCGAAGGAAATCCTATGAAATTTTATCAATGCTGAATGCAAGTAAAATACAGTACTTTTGATTGAAAAACATAAATCGGAAGGAAAGGATGGTCAAGAGAAAGAAGGAAAAGGAAGAAAATTGAAGTTTAAGCGTATTTTACTGCATTTTATTACCAGTATTATTGTTGGAGGACAAAAAAAAGCATTTTATAAATTTAAATAACTAAATTAAAATTTGAAGTAATTTAAAGAATCAAACATATATTTTAACCCTTTTTTAATATTCACAAATTAATTATTTAATTTTTATGTTAAATATGATAGGTAGTAGTATTTACTTAATGTTAAAGTCCTATTAAATTCTATTTTGTCTTAAAGTGTTAAAATCTCTTAAACGGGTGAATTTGGATTGTGTAAACTATGACCGAAGAGCATGGCATGGCTTGAGATTGATCTGGAGAGGTAGGGGCGCACATGGAAGACCCCAGCCCGAAATATGAGTGAGTTGTAAAACTAATTGGCCCTATCTGTAGAAATCCTAACTATTTTGGACTAGGTATAGGCAGGCTGGGTAGGACAGGCGTGATGCCATGCTCATATCATATGGGGAAAAAATTTCATCTATACCTGAAAATTATATTTCATAATTAAAGAAAAAAAAACACACCAAATCAACAACTAGTATCGATTTCATTGATTCATAAGTCAAAAGTTAGAAAACACAGCAACTTGAGTAAACCAGCAGCTAACACAGTACAATTCATAAGAAATCCATCCCTCATTTAAAGTTAGGCGTCTAAAGCTTGCATGCATGCATGCATGCATACATATATATATATATATATATATATATATATGAAAAATCAATTAGTGACTTTGATTCAAAATAGAAAAATAAAGTACCAATTACATTCGAGGCCAATAGTATATAAGCTGTTAAGCCTTATTCAACTTATGCACAAGAAAAGTTCCTCTCTGACACAACAGAAGAATTTTATCATCACCCCAAAGATTTTTATTCACTATCATTCAAGTTTAAACTCAATACTCAAAACTAATTTATTATTTCCATCAGTATAATTAACTATCAACACTTGAAGCCAAATCAAAGAAATCTAACAAGGAATTGAGGACCAAAAAAATGGGGCAACTGAAATGAAAATGAAAACAGAAAAATAGCAAGAAACACACACCTGAGAGGGGAGAGACAAGACGCGCGACGGAGTGAGCAACTGAAGTCTGAATCGATAGTAGCGGGGGATGGAGGGAGGGAGATGGGGGATGCATGTCGCTAGTCGACGACCGATGCTTCTGAAACGAGATGGAAAAGAGCCAAAACAAGAGTGGTTGTCAACTTGTCGTTGGTTACTACCCGATGCTTCAGAGTTGACGGTGCTATGAACTGCCGAACTGAAAGCTTGAATTGATGGAAGAAGATGAAGACTGAGGATGGTCGCTGCGAACTGCTAAATTGCTAATTGATGGTTGTTGCCTGGCTATTGCTGGTTGGCGGTCACTGCTTCGCTGTTGCTGGTTGGAGTGGAGACTGGAGCGAGCAGCTGAGGGTTGAGGATTCGGCGACGGTGAGTTGAGGGTGAGCGACTGACGCTATGTTTTGTACGGGATTTTCAGAGAGGATGGGAGGGAAGTGACTCCCCTCCCATTGTTTGGGTGGTGCAATTTTTTAGAAAGTGAAGGGAGTTGTTTCCCTCCTCTTATTTGGTTAAGATATTTTTTAAAGAGGGAAGGGGTTGCTTCCTTCTAGCTTTTCCTCCAAAAGTGAGGTTTTTTGAGGAAAAATGAGAGATAAAATTTTAAGTTTTAAAATTAGCCTAACTAAAATACTTTAATTTTCATATACTTTTTTGATTTGTTAACCCCTAATCAGTCGTAAACATTTCTACATAAGAGAATTCTTTTGAATATTAGCAAGAGGTGGTCGAGATAGTTGTCTACAAATTAGTGAGTATTGTTGAACTTTATTTCTCTTCTAATTTCAAGAGGTTGTCGATATTTTCTTTCACCTTCAAAGTCTTTCTCTGATTGAAATCTATCGCTCATGACTTTTTATCTGATATCTTATAAGTGTGTGACTGTATTTTATAAGTCAAAATTAGTGAATTATATTATATATGTAGTTATATCTTGATAAAATAAAAAAAATAAGAAAATTTATTTAAATTTTATAGGTTAAAATAGTCAATTTTTTATTAGAACAAAATAAGGTATAATCCAAATTGGGGATCCTTAAAATCTCTTCCTCCCTTCTCCTTCCTCCCCTTCCTTTTGTAGCTACCTCTCCTCTCTTCCCTTTTCTCAAGCCAAAACACAGCGTGAAGTGAGAGTGAGAATGTGAGATAAGCGAGGGCAATCGAAAAAAAAAAGCAAAAAATACTAAAAAAATAATTGTTAAAAAACTTAAAATATAAGAAAATCTTAGTAGGTCAAACAAGGCAAGGCATATTATACTCTCCGGTCATCAAAAAAGGCATATTATACTCACGGCAGCGGCATGTCCGTGATCAGCCCTCCCTAAAAGTACCCCTTCCTTTTTCAGGCGGCTGTTGTTTTTCTGGGTTGGGCTGGGTTTTTTTGGTCTAGGCTCAAGTAGCCGCACCGGGCAGGGCAGGCATGGCATGCAACACCATGGAGAGCCAAAAAAAAACGACCGCGTTTCGATCAGTCTTGTGCCATAGATCAACTGGACGGTTAGCTTGAATTGGAATGCTATTCCAGCCCCCGATGGGACTCCAGCTCCATCTCGCAGTCCGGCCGTCGTTGCTCAGTGCTTTCTGTCACTCAACTCCGCCGTCGTGCAGCTGTCCATCGTCGCGGCTCAGGCCCGACGACTTCTTTGAGGTAAGTTCCAAATCGACCTACGTTCCTTATTCGAGACCCCTTCCCTGATTCGCGTTCGAGGCCGCCCATTGCTTTCGTATGTTCTAGTTTCTTTATATGAAATGCCTTCTCCGGCCAAAAAAACTGTTGTCCACTGCTTTCGATAGAAATACAAGATTGTTCTCTATAGAACTTAGTCTAATTGTATCGATATGAATGTGTGGGTCAGGAATCCATCTGTTTATGTTCTAAAACCATGGTCCTGGTCTTGCAAACGCAAGCCAATGATTAGGTCACTCGAGTGGTTTCTCCCGCATATGCATTGACATTGGTACAGATAGAATAAGCCCTCGCCAATACTCGAGTGCTTGTTTGAAATGCAAGCTAGTTTAAACATTCAGTATATATTGGTAATGCGATGGTGCGGAATCTAATTTGGGGGTGTAGATTTTACGGAGGTTTAGGGTACGATTCGAAGGGAGTGAGCAAAAGAGGCATCATCAATGGCTTCAATGATCGGAAGACGAACGATTGTATGCATTTTATGCAGAGCTTCAGCTAATTCGGCTCCAAGAATACCCTCGTTTGCTCGTTCTCTCAGAAACTCAAATTTCACTCTTCCTCGCGCTCCTGTTGGTCAGCCTTCTCCTTTAAGGTGCTCTAGTGCTTCTGATGCTCGCAATTTATGTTTACCGCCTCAAATTCATGACCGTTTAAATTTATATAATGTTGATGATAGTTATGATTTATGACGTCCATTTTGAATCCTTGCTTAGGTTGTTGCGAAGAGAATTGAGCTCTATCAAACCTGTACACAATGCGATTGCTTCCGCATACCTTGTTTCCAAGCTTCCCTGCGATGCCTACACTTCCAGCGAAGGTTTGTTTCTCTTTCTTCCCTCTCGATAGTTGTTTGTACTTTGCAATGGAACCATGTAGATCATACATGATGGGCATTTTGTCCATGCAAACAGTCGAATGTTAAAGCAACAATTGGCTCTATACTAGACTCCATCGCTAAGGCCAACTATTTGATGATATTGCATACCTTTTTATAACATGTCTTAGCCAACAGCTTTAAATAATTTCAGGTGGGAGCTAGGTATAGGGTGTGTTTAGTTCACTTACTGAGAACATCGAGAGGATACAAATTGAGATTAAGGATTCAGCTTAGAAATCCTCATTTTGAATGTACTACCTCCAGTTCTAAATATAGGATCTGATTTTTAATGTAATTTGCACTACACACTATATCCTATATTTAGGATCAGAAGTAGCATAAGGGACTCCTCTGTTATGTGATTCTATCAAATTTTCTTTCCCAGCAGAAGTAGCGCTGTCTGGACGACAGAAGTAGAACTATGGGAATAAGCTGATAACTGGTGAATGTCTAGAAAGTTATCTGCTGAGATATCTCTAGAAGATTTGAGTGTCAACCAGCTCAGGCCATGGACTAGTTATCTTCATAAAAATTAAGACAATGGACTGGTTATTTTCATAAGAATTATTTAAAACATGTTAAGCCGAACTGTAAACTGTTGCTTTTCCTGTTGAGCTATAATCTTTTTGCTCTCAGTCGAAGTTAAGCTTGTGAATCGTGACAACCTTATTTTTCCCCGATCACAGGAAAATTTGTTAACTATATCAGCCCCATCTGACAACCGGTGATATGGCAAGGAGGACTTCTCTTATTAATTTTGGAACCTCCCTCATTCTGGGAATTCAGAATTTAGATTTCTAAACAAAGAGCTTAGCAGGTTTGACACTTTGAAAATGAAGAGATTTTGATTGTCTTCTAGAGCTGCAACTTTGCCATGTTTGTAATTGATAAGTGAAATGAGTTTTACATTGTCTTCAAAATAATATCATGAGGAGCATTAGACAATCACATATAAACATGAGATGGTTTGGATCATGGGAATGACACCCTTGTTTCTATCGTTGTTTTGTTCCATGTAACTCTGGATGGCACAAAATTAGCAAGTCTGTTCATGGAAAACTTAGGGGTGAAAAATCGAAAATATTTGACCTAAGGACTGTGTGTGTTATGCTTGGAAAACAGTTTTAATCCGAGTGTTCGTTCCATCTCTCTAATGTCTTAATATTCGTCTAACTTACCTGGAGTTGGAATCTTTGTCAACTTTGAATTATAAATTCAAGCTACTTTTGATTTTGGGGTAACTTGTGCTGGCTTTGCATGATCGGAGCACTGGAAGATAGATCCAACTTACGTAGCACTTTTTGTCTAGCCCATTCCACTCCATTGGAGCAAGCGGATTTATTTAGTGTACAATAGCAGTTCATGTCTTCATGATACACCCGCATGAAATTTTTCATTTGGTGTATGTTACTGAGAGACCATGTCCATCTGTTCATTGGCCTGCTCTGGCCCATGGGTCAGGCCTTAATAACAAGCCCACTTTTTTGCCTTACTGTTTTAATAACAAACTTAAGCTATAATTGAAAATCCGCATTGATAGAACTGCCACTTCCCCACCAAATGCATGCGAAAGCCCAGACATTTGGCAATAGGAAGGATTCTATCAAGCAAAAACATGTATCATACCTGAATATATGCGTAAAAAAGTGGGAGAATTGTTATAAAATCTTAAAGAAAGAACATAATTGTTAAAAAGACTTAGTGACAACAAAGCAAGTTCTAATATAATAAATGATAAATGTTCACTTGTTGAGACTTATTGATAATAATTACTCCTTTGGCCCTTAATATAGGACCTAATTTTTTAGTAGGTTTTAGTCCTAAATATAAGACCCATTTGTTATATTTATCAATTTTCTCTAAATTACCCCTATGGATACTCCCTTAATTATAATCAAGTAGAAGAGGAAGATGGGGTATTAAGAAATATAATTATGGTGTTTTAGAAAAAATGTCACTTTTTTTATAATTAACTAACTATCTAACTTCTTTAATTTAATCAAATTAGTTAAATGTGTTTTATATTAAGGACTGGAGGAGTATTTTTTTGGGATCTTATTATAGTGTTTTCTGAAAAAAATTAGTCAGCCCTCTACTAATCACAGTTTTTTGGGGTGCAAATGAGGGCCAAGCCCAAAATAAAAAGTAAAAACTACCTTAGGTGGGGATTAGATCTCACCTTCTCTTTCTCTACTAGAGCCCTTGGTTCATCCGGACACACAGAAAAGGCAAAAGTTTCAAACCCCTACCCAACAAGTAGGCCAGTGTAGTGCTGGTGGGCAATAAATTGTCACCAGAAAAGGCAAAAGAATACCTGGAAAAAGAAATAAAACCATTCAACAGAAATTCTTTGGAGATGGCATTAGTAGATATGCAAATAATAGAACTAACAGGTTCCAAGAAACAAGGGAGAATTTCATTTAAGTCCCATGGTGAGAATTTAATTCCCAACCAGTTCCAATCTCAAAACAATCTGAAATTTCATTTCAGTCTCTTTGGCCTAATATGAAATTACTGTGAAAGTAAAATGATCATGTTAAACCTAAAAATTTTGAGAAACTCATAATTTAGTTGTACAAGTAACAATATACATTTTAACAACAAAAATAGTTAAATAACAACTGTACATGTGGAAATTTACAACTATCATTTTTTACAGTAACAAGATATAAACATAAAAATTTCATAAGTGATTATAAGTAAGTTTGCAAGTTGAAATATACATTTTAACAACAAAAAGTAGTTACACAACAATGGTGCATATGGACATTTATAACTCTAAATTTTTATCGTTACAACATGTGAACATGAAAAATTCACAAGTACTCATAGTCAAAATACACAGTTTCATAACAAAGAATAGCTAAATAACCACTATAGATATACAAATTTATAATTCTCGATTTTTATTATAACAAGATCTCGCAGCTCATAGGTAAATTTGCAAGTCAAAAATACATATTTTAACCTCAAAAAGTAACTAAATAACAGTTTTGCATATAAAAATTTGTAATTCAATTTTCATAATAACAAGCTAAGTTATAAACATGAAAAATTCACGTGCTTGAGTGTGTGGATATGAGCGTGGAAGGAATGTGTTACTTCACAAGGGATATATTATGAAAATTGATTGTTATAAATTTCCATATGTCCGATTGTTATTGAGCTATTTTTTTTTTTTGGTTAAAATGCATACTTTAAATTGCAAATTTATCTATGAGCATTTTTTTAAATTTTTTTTATTCATAGCTTGTTCTTATGAAAATTGAGGGTTGTAAGTTTTTATATGTATAATTGTTATTTAGCTATCTTTTGTTATTAAAATGTGTATGTTGGCTTGCAAAGTTACTTATAAAAAATTGTGAATTTTTCATGTTCATATCTTACTATTGTGAAAATTGAAAGTCTTAAATTTGCATCTGTACAGTTGTTAATTAGATATTTTTTGTTATTGTGAAAATTGAAAGTTATAAATTTGCATCTATATAGTAGTTAATCAGCTATTTTTGTTGTTGTCAGAATACATATTTTGACTTGCAAAATATACCTGAGGTTGTTACAATTTTTAGGGGCAACATAGTCATTTTCTTTTCAAACTTAATTTCATTTTGGGCTAAGGAAAATGAGGTGAAATTTCACATTGTGTTGGGACTGATTGAGATTAAGTTTATCTTGTGGGGCTTATATGAAATTTTCCCAAGAAACAAAGGGGATGACCACCATGAATTTGATTGATACCTCAATTTCAGGATTTTTAATAATCATTCATAGAAGACCTTTCTCATAAAGTGCCCTCAAGGCTTCTGGTGTAACAAATTGTTACTATTCAACGTAATTTATCAATTCTTAGTTATATATTCTTATTTCCCTAGCGTTCACGAGAGGTAAAAGCACAGTAGAGTAGTACAAAAATATATTTACGAGTTTGTTTCTTCAAAAATACAAAATATGAAATTTCTTTTTCTGAAAGAGCAAACTAAACAAGAGATCAAATAAGGTAGGCTTCAATAATGCCAACATAGGAAACTCCCCTAGTAGCATTGAGTGGAGAATCACACTGCAAAGCCAAGAGGACTACTCTTAACCAGGAAATAACCTAACAAGCCAAAAGCAGTATTAAAGAATATTGAGTAGCAAAGACGAAAGCAACAAAGTCTCAAAATCTTATAAAGATATTACTCTTCTCATGATTATACATGAATATTTTATAAATTTTAGTTACTCTTTATTATTTTAAGGGATAATTAATCTCTGGGTCCTTATAGTTTTATCTGATTTTTAATCAATTCCCTGTAAAATTTTGTCTTTTTATCAGATCCTTTTACTTTCACATGTTTTTTATTAGGTCCCTCTATTTTTTTTTCTTTTTATCAAATCTTTATAGTTTCACTTATTTTTAAATTAGGTCCTTTGTAGTTTTTAAAAAAAATTATTTATTAAATTTATTCTTTAAAATTAATTTTATTTTTAAATTAATAATTATATAATTGCAAACAATAATTAATATAATCACTTCGTAATTAATAATTAATTAGAATAATCACTTATACTTAACTGTAAATTATTTATAATTATATTATATTTAACTATAAATTATTTATAATTATATTCTAATTTTAAAAAATTTTATAATTATAAAAATTAGAATTGAAAAATAAATAATATATATGTTTAACTAAAAATTTAAAAAAATATTAACATACGATTATTATAATAATTTATTATTTATAGAATATTATTATTTATAGAATATAGAATAAAAACTACAAGGACCTAATTAAAAATAAAGTAAAACAATGAGGACCTGATAAAAGATAAAAAAAATTATAAGGACTTGATTAAAAATATGTGAAATTATGGGGACTTGATAAAAAAAATTATAAGAATCCAATTAAAAATTGATTGAAACTATAAGAACTTGCATATTAATTATCTCTTATTTTAATTCTAATTCAGTCAATCCTTGATTCAACCGCGCTTAAACCAATAATTTTTGTGCTTCAGTCTTGATCTGTTTACTAAGAACATATCCAGTTTATCAATACTTTAGGATTGATAAGCATGGATATTCAAGCATCCTCCACAGCTAAAATTTACAATTTTGAAGGTTCTAAGGTGAAAATTAAAATTTATTAAGTACTTAATTGTTATTCAAGATATTTGATTAAATTTAGAAATTCTCTATTATGCGAAACTGCTCAGCTATTTAGGGAATGAATTTAAGTGCTCATCACTCAAGAGAAGAAAAAAAAACGAGTATCCAATTTCATTAGATCTAAACCACTTAGATGTGATCTGGACAATCCAAATTTATTTTTTTACTTTTATTTTCAAAAGCAATTATTTTAATGGGTATAAAATATAAAATAAAGATAAATTCTTAATTTTTTTTCAAAATAATTTTTATTTAAAAATAATTAATTAAACATTTTAAATTTAAAACCGTTCAAATTTAACAAACCTGATGACTACTAAACTGGGTCCACTCTCCAACGGGGACGAGAGAAAGCATGGGACATGCGCTTACCAACCGCGGAAGGAGAAAGGCGGTGAGTCGGTGACTGTTTGGTGCGAGGGACCGACCAAATGAAAAGCTGGGCTCAAAAGTGACGAGCAAGTCTTGTGGGGGCAAAAAGAAAAATGAAAAAGAGATTACACATATAAAGCTTAATTATTTGATATATTTAATAAAAAGATAATTAATTCACAACTCCTTATAATTTCAATTAATTTTGAATCAGGTCTTCATAATTTTTTTTTTAATCAGGTCCTTATACTTTCACCTGTTTTTAATTAGATCCTTGTATTTATTTTTCTTTTTATCAAATCCTTATAAGTTCACTTTATTTTTAATTAAGTCCCTGAATTTTTTATTCTTTATTTTATAAATTCTAATAGTACTATTATATAAACATAAAATAGTATATATTATTTAATATTAGTTTATAAACAATAATATTCTAAAGATATTGAATTATTATAATGATTTTAA